AACGTTGTTGTGGTGTACGAAAGGCCCATGTTCGACGCGCCCCACTGCCTCTTTCAAGCGAACATTCATCACTGAATATGATCTTGCTCCACTCAGCCCACGTCCAATTTCGTCGTTCTTTACACCATGTAAGTCGTTTAGCAGCCAATTGCGGAGTCAATAGAGGTCTTTTTTTGGCCATCCAATTGGTAATGCCTTCGTTTTTGAGTATTTGATAAATAGTCCTTCGATGAACACTAGTACCAACTTCGGACTGAAGTGCTTGATAAGTAATCTTCAGATTGATACGAATAATGCGTAAAATGTTGCGTTTTTGGACCCTATTTAAGGCCTGAGGACGTCCTGAACGAGGCAAGCTTTTGTTGTTGTTGCGTAGTGGATTTTGAACAATGGTATCAGAAACAGTGGATTTGCCGCAATGCAGATTTTGACCAATCTCTCGACTTGTGAGCCCTAGGGCTTTGTACGCCGAAATTTGACCTCGTTGGTATGGAGATAGCTCTTTGCCATAGCTTCTATTGATTTCAAGAGGCGCCAAAGCCTTGCGTTGAGCCATGGTAGTTGTTTGAAAAAGGGTGTAAAAAAACGCGTGTTCAAAAATGACGCGTTTTGGCCGGATACTTTCGCGCGGGGCTGTAGTTGTATTCCTCAAAACCACAGAGGCCCCCCAGCTTCTCGCAGGGCGTTACGTTGTGTAATTTCGTGCCTTCACAGCTCTCAAGAGCATGACGCGAAGAGCTTAATGCTGAATCAACGCTGCTCTCGACTGAGCGGCAGCAGCTAAAATATTCGTCTAGGTATCATTTAGCTGAGTAAATGCAGCCCAAACCGAAAACTAAAAAAAAAGGAAAAGTCACTCCAATGCTGTGACTCGACTCCTCCCCCCCACCTGTCTTTCCTCCACCTAAAACATGAAGCAAAAACATGAAAGAGCCCAATCTGTGCACCTCTCAACCCAAAGGGTTGAGTAAAGATAGACTCAGCCCGTGAGAGAAGGTCCTCAGGCGAGGGCTTCATCTCCCTCAACAAAAGGGGAGTTTGTAGCGTTTCGCTGAAGCGGGCAGATGCTGAAAGTGTGAAACACACAATACTCAAATGAACTCTTCATGCATATTAAGCCATCCCCTTCCCTTATGTTGGAACGGCTACGTGTTTTCATAAACTATATCTTTTGTTTCTTGAGGCTTCTGCGCAGTGTTCAAGGGGGTTTTGTCTTGGCGTTTCTGGCCCGTGCCAAGACGAACCCCTGATGGTTCTGCTTTCTATGTGCCACATGATGTGTTGTCACCCCGCCCGCAAAGCTTCGGACCAGTTGTTTCACTCTATTCACAGGTTTCACACCTTTCCGTTACTTCAACAACGCATTCTGGGATTCATTGCCTACATCTTTCTAGAAACAACTTTCCAATCCGATTCCCATATCTCTCAGCAGGTTCAAGCGCTGAAACGTATCAGTTGCCCAATTGATCCCTTCCCTGTCCGCCCAAGACTACTAGTATCTACATTTCAATGCAATGTCCTCCTCGAGGGCAGCGACTCTGTGCACGGGTAGTCCACTGGCTTTGTTAGAGACTCCCAAACATTGTGTTCATCAAATCCAATTAGTCAAACAAATCAAATAAAATCGGTGCTTTCGTCAAAGCAAATCAGCCTTCTTGAATTTGACAAATTGGTCAAACTGGAATCCTGACAGAAAAGACTGTGTAATAATCAAGGATATTTTCGATAGAATAATTATAGTCTTGGCGGACACTCAACCTGGACGAGCATTGAAATAAATCACTAAAAATATATTGCTTACTGAGATTTGACTTGATTTGACAAACCAGTCAAACAAAGCAAATCAGGGCTTCGACTTGCTTTGTTTGATTTGATGGATACTTACCCTGGCTGGGGCCTTATGCAGGTTTGAGTGCTGTCGATTAGCGTCGCTGAAGACGACAAAAGAAGGGATGAAGGTCCCCAGATTATTTAGATCGCCGACGACATCGTACTCCTGGGAACTTCGATTCAGAGTCAACTCGCACAAGCTTCTGTGGTCTTCAGCCACTCGCCCAGGTGTGCTGTGTTGAGGATTTCTTTAAGTTTATGGCCACGCCTGTCACAGAGCTTTGCCACATTACGCATGATGAAAAGACCATAATAGCCTTCCGAAAGTTAGCAATGGGGTTTTCGGAAGAATCGTCCTGGCCATAGCTATAATCCTGGCTTCTCATTCTCTGGTGGTGAGTGAGTGGGATGAAATCGTGGTATAAGGTGCACCAATGTTATATGTGATTCAAAGTAGATGAAAGGAGGATTGCGGTTGAGCGAAGGCAAGGGATGAAAAGTTCTACGAAGGAATGAGAAGGCCAATGTATGAGAAAAATGAAGAGTAGGGATATGGCGTTATCATTGAGAGGGGTCGATCCAGCCTCTTACAGTTATGGCAATTGCAATTGTTCCAGACGAGAAATCACGCACTGCACAAACACTCTAATGCATCAAGTGCTGGGTGAGGCAATTCATACACGACCATTGTGCTGCGATCTGCTATTGGCACGGCTACGATGTGCAAACATATGTAGTATGATATTGACGTTGCAGATGAGCTGAAAGCTGGAGAACATGCTATACGGCATCTCGGTACGTTTTGGCATCTTTCTTTCTGCAATGTGCATTTCTCATGTTACGGCGCGCAATACAAAAGAGTATCAAGGTGATTTTGGGCAAACTAAAAGTGCATTGAGAGCAGATATCGATCGCAGCAGCTGACAGATATTGTGCTACAAGCGGTGCGGTATCAAGGATGGCTTATCTATGCGCATTCGCTGTTGAATCCTGCAGCAGAATCGTGCTGCTTTTGTGGTGTCTGGCCACACGAAGTAATGTACAGGTAGTACCTCTAAGGTTTGCCTCTTCTCTCCTCTTCTGTACGCGGACCATCCTATCTTCGCAATTCCACTGTTACATTCAGACAAAGTGAAGCGATCCTGGATCATTGAAGTCATTCCCACAAGTTGAGTTCGCTCTGACTATTGAAGTTGATCCTGTCTCATTGCAGTCATACTCGTGGCCTCTGGGGTTCGGGTAAGCGAGTAGAGTATTTTAGTGAGGCGATGGGATGCCGATATATGCTGATGGCGCTCATGATGCATCATTACGACATGATTCTTGATGTCACTACTCCTAAAAACAAAAGATGGCTTGAAAACCTATCATTAATCAGAACCCATGGGCAACAAGTTGCACCAGCTACAGAGAAAACGACAAGCCCCAAGGTTCGCTCGTTTCATCCAATAGCAATAACCATAAGCGCATTTGCTTTGCCGTGGCAAGAAAATCTCCCCTGACCCCAAGAAATCCGCGTCATAGTTCCTGGATCGCAATATGCTGCCAGCCACATCGATCTCCTTCAGGTAACCTGCCAGTGGCTAAGACACGTGGCACGATGGGCATGCAAGCTTTGAGTACTTCGGATCTGGCCTTGAGGACACTGCAGATATCATGGATCATGGATCATCCCACCGGCAGAACCACGACTGGAGGTATATAGAAAACTTCCTCTTCTCAGCTGGGTGAGGTCTCTCTTGCTTTCTGGCGCTACAGGACAAAAGCAATATCGGTCATGTTGCCAGCTTCATTATCACTTTATAAAACTAGACTTCCAGGTTAAATAAAAAACCTTCAAGGATAATACTCACCCAGGTAAAGTATACCCATGTATGAGATTGGAAATACCTTCAGCGGCATGGGATGGCTTTCAGAAGAGCAACAGTAGCTTACTTTAGTGTCTGTGCTCTACTACGCGATGAGTGTAACAGGGGCGGAAGGAAACATCATGAAAGCAAAGTGTTAGCTTAAGCTAGTATCCTGTCTCGTGACTTGGCATCTGAGAACTGAAGGCTGCCCTACCGGCCACATTAACCCTCATCAACGCTGAAGCTGTTTTGCTTGTGAACGATTCAACCACTATTCGTGATTCATTGTTTGTCACCGTGATTCAGTGACTTCTCCGCTCGGCCGCTCACTGAAAAATCACCAAGTTGTACACTGTGTCACCCACTTCAGTGACATTTTTACCTTTTTGCCTCACGCAAAAGCACAAACTTTCACCATTCGATGTGACTTGTGAACGCCTCATTTTCCCGCTCCTCACCCACGCTCACACCGCCTTCACATACGGGGAACGTACCAGAACTCCTGAGCATCCATCTGCGGATAGCCATACTGCTCGTAGACATCCTGTACCTGGACCTGGTATTGCATGCTCGTCTCCGTTTCCATCTCCATTTCCAACATCGGCATCTGGGTGTTGAAGAATTGCGGGTAGGTTTCTGCAGCGGGAGCGCCATATTGCAGGATCGGGATCGCATAAGCGTGCTGTGGCTGTGGTGCCAGCAATGGCTGGTGGACATGGTTGTACGGACCCACTCCGCTGATCATGGGATTGTACATAGGCGCGGGGGCAGATCTAGTGGCATGGTAGACTCCGGTACTCTGGTGAACGGTGGTGGTGGTGTTGTCGTAGTAGACATTCGGCAAGTAATTTGGGTAGGAGTGGGGTGTATTTCTCGCTTGGATGTTGTTTGCGGGAGGCATGTCGGGAACCATTACAGAGTTTCGAGCTGAAGTGCCACGAGCAGCATAGCCGGGTGGTAGACCTCGTGGTGGCCCTCTGGGTGGATTTTCGCGCTCAGCTGCCAATACCGGAATGCCGCCGTCTCTGCCAGCTCTGCCACTGGTGCCAGTGCCGCTTTTAGTTTGCTTGCGCCCGTTTTGTGCAAGGCGGTTGACATCCTCATGCTGTTTGACTTCTTCGCGAAGCCTCTCTGCTGCAAGACGCTCATCTTCCAGAACGGCAGTGTCTTCCCTTGCTCTCATCAACATGCAGTCGTGGCATTCGCTGTCGATCTTTTTCTTCTTAATGCCCAAGCCGCAGGAAGTGTCCTGGAGATTAGCGGCCATGTGATCTGCTTCGACGCCAGACTTTGATGGGGAAAGCAAGAACATGGGCGGAGGTAGGGGGCTTGAGCTGAAGTGGCCGCGAAGGGGGCGCTGATCTTTGATGTCTTTGGTGTTGGTCGCCGGAGTTTTGGTATTGGTGTCAACAAAGGGGTCATCTTCCACGTCGCTGATAGCGCTTGCAGCCTCCATATCAGACTGGGTGATCAAGCGGGTCTTGGAATTTTGACATTCGACCTTTGATGTATGCTCGCAGCTGAATTCCCGGATCACACACATCTTGATGTCCTGCTGATATGACGGGTTAGTAATGTTACAGTGAGAATTTAGGAAAGATGTATAGTGCAAGCCGCTGCTAGCGGCACGATGCGGAGCAAGGCGGAAGCATGTAATAGCAAGGAGGAGAGGAATATCACGCTCACAGACCTTTGTTGGTACAGAAACTATGTTGTAGTGTAGGCGTTGAGATCGGTTGTGTGGAGTGGAGGTTGTGTTAAGTAGAAATTTGGAACGTGGAGTCAAGAGAAGCTAAGGAGGCTGCAGAACACAACGAAGCTCAACGAAAGCAAATATTCATGGTACCAACTGTCTTCAATAGGTTACTGGAGTCACCCTGGTCCAGTTATTGGCGACCACCCACAAGGTTGTGATTCAGACACTTGTCCTGGTCTTTAGACAACTGTATGCCAGTGATTCGGAAACCTGTTGCAGTCTTCAGGAAAGCCTCTGTCATTTTCATCCTTCACTCCGCTTCCGTTGTGCATGCTTCTGTCTCTCCCTTCTTCTGCGTCCTAAAATTCTGGATCAATCTCTCTTGCTCCACCGCCATCTTCTTCCTCTTCTCTGCCTCCCTTCCCCATCTTTCATACTCTCCCAGATACACATCAAGGAAATCCTGCCTTTGACGCTCATTTCTCGGTTCTGTCCTCCCTTCCACACAGTTGTTGCAGTACCCCTTGTACCCCAGGGCAATTTCTGTCTTCCAGTCACCAGGAATGGAAGTCTCGTGGCTGTCAAGGAAGCGCTGAGTACGTGTGTCTTCAATGATGAAAGTGTAGTCCTTGAAGGTCAGACCTATGTCGTTGAGGCAGGTGCGGCCTTTGGCAGCCCAGGACGGACAGTGGTAGATGATACCCATAGAGGATTTGACATGTCCACACCGGGGATAGATGAGCAATGTCTCACGGCACATTTTGGTTTGAATGCTTGGTGTTAAGCAGGGGACGGTTGAAGGCTGGGTTGTTGGGGTGGAGGCCAGTGGAATGATGATGCAGTTGTATGGCGTGAAAATACTTGAGGGAAACAAGGCATAGTCAGGGAAGGAATAAGTGAAGTACACGGTCAGACCTTGGAAGGACTCCTGCACACCACAGCATCTCCTTGTGGGCACATGCGGGGGTAGAAACGTCGAAGAGAAAAGCCAGATATTTAACACCACAGCCTGCCAGATCCTATATAGCAACCTGTGTTCCCAGGGCCATGAAGCCCCTGGACACTGCTAGTAGTTGTTCTCATTTTGATGCATTGCTTCTCGTTCAATCCACTAACGGGCACGAGGAGAAGAATTGTGGCTGCCTTTTCATAACTCTTTTTGAGGCTTTTCCTCTTAATGTTGTCTACGCATGGTAGCTCAGAGTGGGTGGAGGAGGATTATTGGTAGAGGTCGTAGAGGACAAGAAGTGCTTCTACCTACAGACGGCCTTTTGAGCAATCTGCAAGAGTGCAGTAGAGTAAGGTTTTGTTGAGTTTTCACACGCCACTTTTTGATCGCCAAGGAATACCGGGTCGCCAAAGCCAGTGCCAGCCAACTTGCATAGCTCCTCTGCATCGTAGTATGTAGTAGCTGACTACTCACTTAGTAAGTACTAAATACTGATCAGATAGCCTTGCTCCTTTGCTTGTTACAAATCAAATTAAGGCCGACGGGGTACACACTCATGAGCAGTGATAATTATTAGTGCACAGTTCACATTTGGAATGGAACATCTTTCAAGCTGGAATTCTGATTTATTGTTCTAAGTGAGAACAGTGCTGCTCTTTTCCAAACCCGCAACCAGCAGAACTTGTCATCCAAACATTTGCACCTGCTTCGCACCCTCCACCTCCTTCGCAAATGAAACCCTATCTTTAACGTAGAATTCTACTCCGATATTCTTTAGATCCGCCTTCCCATCATCCAATCCACCTGCCTTAATCACAGTCATCCCCTCCATCACATCCAGCTTATTGAACACACTGCTGCCACAGTTCCCACAGAAGAAGTGTTTGTTCACTTTTCCAGAGTTGCCCACCGCGTCATATGATTTTGGAGTGCCAGAGGTCAGTTTGAACTGGTCATCCTTGATAACAACGTTGGTAGAGTAGGCGCTTCCGGCGTGCTTCTGACAGTCTACACAGTGACAAAGGGCTTTCACCTCGGGTTCTCCTGCAAATTTGAGGGTATTTGTGAGTCTTTGCATCAGTGATTGGAAATGGTGGGTGACAGATTGGAGGACTTGATGTTGAACGGTGACACCGGAATCTCCTTGACATGCCAAGGTTTGGATTCTAGCGAGACCAATGATTGCAAAAATGCATGGAGTATGGTGTCAAAGTTAGGCATACCTTCGAATTCATACTTAATCTCACCACATAAGCAGCTTCCTTTCGTAGTCATTGTGCCTATTCAGCCGAGTCTTATGCAAGGATGGGTCTGGGACGTGTTTATGGGATGCAAATACGGGAAGACAGTTTGAATCAAAAAAGAAGTAGAAAATAGAATTCTGAAGCCATCGTGATACGAAGTGTAAGCGCGGGGGAATACCATGGCTTCTCTGTGCATTCCGTTTGGTCAAGGAGTAGGTTTTCCTATCCATGGAATTTGGAATCATCATGAAGAGCTAGTGTTATCCCCTTGTGAAGCTTTGTCAGTCTTATGGAGCTTTGGCACCTAGAGGGCCAGGCGGCACAGGGAGTGGTGCCATGCCGACAAGGGTCTGGGAGGGGTAATTTTAGCCTGTAGGGTCATCCCTGGGCGTAACGGAAACTCTGCAGACAGGATCTGAAGTTTTATTGTGGAACAGAGACGTTCAGGTATGATCAGTGTGCATGGATTCCGTTGACCTTTAAATCGCCTTTATTTGCCTCAGGGCGAACAAAAGCAACACTCTGAAAAGATATGACTAAGCGGATAGCCAGGAGAGCAGCCTGGAGGGTCTGTTGAATAGAGGCGGGAACAAGGCGGGTCGAACCATATGGATTTTGGAGCAAAGCAATCGCTTATTGCCCGTTGATAAACTCTCACGCGTATACCTCGTCATAGGTTCACTGACTAAAGCTCAATGAATCCCGCTTTGTGAAAAGGACGTATAGGAACTCGTATGTCAATTGTTCCCGAAACAAAGAGGATGTTGTGATAAGTTGAAGCTACTGGATCTTCACCTCCATTTCTGAATGATAACTTAGAATTGTGAAGTGGTGAAGCAGCTTTGTGTCAAAGGCGGCAGTGAAAATCCCCCGAAATTGTGGAATATCTCGAGCATCCAAGCATGAGGTGGTGTCAATCTCTTCATGACGTCCAGCCAGGGGCTCGCCAGGATGGCCACTGTTTCTTGTTGCAGTCAGTGAGAAGCGAGTGGGCAGCTCCCGCGGTGATCCAAAAGACATCCTTGTGAGTGTCGGGTGTGGATTCAAGGTCCTTGCGGTCTGCTGACTTGAGAGACTCAGCATTTCTTCAATCCTTGCCATCTCGATATGTGGTAATGTAGCCCTTTCCCATGTTTTGTGCCTTCTTCCACAGACTAGCGAAGTCATTATCCTGGTCTGGATATTTTGCGAGCTGCTCTCGTCGGATACGGATTGCGGCGGCTGTGGTTCCCACACATATTGCAAATATGGGGTCGAAGAATCTGCTTCGCTGTAGTTAGTGACGATATATGCAGCGGGCGTCCAATGGGCGAGAAGAACACCTGGAGGCCACAAATCATACTTGGAAATAAGCCAGGGCTGAGCAACTGAGGACATGACAGCACGGGATCTTCGTAGCACTGAGTACAGGAGGCAGCGGGCGGACTAGTAGTACAACGATACCAGTCGAAGGTCATGTAACCAAATGTTCCTGAAATGGACAAAGCTCCAGATTGGCACGCGATCAAAGCTTGGGTAACTGCCAAGCCTGCGCAAAGGAGACTTCAACACATACCTCATGCAACTGTTCTTGGAAATGATCAGAATAAGTGAAGTTTTTGCCCTGCAGAATGTGAGAAGAAAGCTCTTCACAATGCTTTTCAATCCTGTAGTTCAGTTACCCCGCCGTAAGGGTAGATCATGGAGCGCAGCTCACTTCCTACAAGCTCGAGCAAGGTGACAGGTAGGAAACATTGTTCTGCCATTCCGCAGAAATCGAATACTGACGATGTTCGTGGGACAGCTCAATGCGTCGACCCTTCGGACCTTTTCTCGACCTTCAAACCACTTTTACTTCAATATTTGCCCTTGCGTAATCTACACTGGAAGTCTCCAAACCGGCCCCTGAGATCGATTAACACCCTGCATGTGGACCTTATTAAAGATGGAAATGAGACCACTTCCGTACCTGAAAGGCGCCATCAGATACCAGGCCTGCGTCAAACACCCTACTTGAAGATATATCTGCTCAGATGCGATGACAATGAGACTTATAAAGCAACCTGCCGGAAGCAAATAAGGGAATGGATTAAGAGCACTGCACAGCAGGCAGAAAGCAAAACAGCAGCAAGTAATCAGGAAAAACACGATGCCTTCGAATGGCTCATTGTTCATGTGGTCTTCCCGGAAACACCTGCTGCAGCCCAGTTACGGAAATCGAAAGAGGCTCGGTTGGGCACAACAGATAGCTCAGACAGCATCACTAACAAGTCGAAATGGCCAGGCAAGGGCTCCTCAAACGTATTCGAGAAACTTCGTGCGGATTTCAATGGGTCCTCGAAATCAGCTGTTGAGCGTGTCGCTCAAATAAGCGTTCCAAATGCGGGACAGCAGATATCCGTTGAGATGCAGGAACAATTCCATGATCTTGTAGAGAAACTCAAATTGACCATCCTTTCCTCGTTCGATCTTCGAGTCAGCCAGTATGAAGAAGACATCCAGGAAAAAGACAGTCAGCGGATACTACCTGGCTGGAATTTCAATACCTTCTTCGTACTTAAGGAGGGTCTCGCCAGGGGGTTTGAGAATGTGGGTCTTTTCGAGGACGCACTTGTCGTTTATGACGAGCTGGCACATGGCTTGGATATCATTATTCACGAACAATTGGAAGTTAAAGGCTCTGACCATGGCGGTAGATTTCTTCCGTACAGTGACGAACTGAAGGACAAAATTCAAGCATGTTTAAAAGATACGAACGAGGGCACTGGAGATAATGCCCGCCCAAATCTCGATCTGGATGCTGACCCGGCTGTGCGGTTGCAACGTCGGGATTATCCTCTAGACGCAAGTAGAAGTCCGTTCCGGGAGCTCATTCTTGCAAACGACATTTCCATCTTCGACTTCCGTTTATACATTTTTTCCCGGCAGCTGGATTTGCTTTTAAGAAGTGCCAATGCACGTTCTGTTGCAGATGAACCATCAGAATCGCAAGCAGAACATTCAGCGCTTGAGGAACAATTTTTACCTTTGGCTGATGCCTGTCAACGGACACTGGACTTTGTGACGAATGGAACACGTACTTTGCGCCATGACCTTGAATTGGCACTGGAGATGAACGAAGTCATGTCAACAGATGAAAGACACTTTCGGAGCTCGGTCATCTCAAATTTTATCCTCTCTTGGATGTACGTATCATCGCTACAAGTATTGGCACAAACAAGTAGTCCCGGCTTGATCCTACCGTCAGCTGAAGCCATGCCTTCTCGGACGATTAGTAAGTCGAGTTCTCGTTTCCAGGCGTCAAATCCGTTTAAATCTGCCATCGAGCCTTCGCCCAGGACTTTCTCTCGGACACCAAGTCCTATAAAGTTAGACTTGACGGCGCGTTCAGCTCGGTCTGGTAATGGGCTCGCACAACCGAGCAGCACGTTGGCGAGCAGGACCGGCGCGGAGGAACTAGCAGGTGCAAGAGCAGAGCTTTACCTGCTTGCAAGAGCAGCTGTGCAACAAATTGGTGACCAGCATGGTTGGACAAATCGATGGAGTGTTCCTGGGCTTGCCGAGGTGCAGGATGTGGCACTGGAGACAGCCCATCTCCCGAATGGAGAAGCTGCCGAGAAAGTAATGTGCCCCGTCATTAATGGTCTTCAACATCTTGATCTTAGGAGCATCTTTCATTCTAAGAAGTCTTTCAATATGCTGTTCGGGTGTCTGACCACGTTCAGTTACCGTCATCTGTTAGTTGCGAAAAGGACGAATTCTGCAGAGAAGGCCATCGCCGAACTCGCAGTGTTGAAGTATGAAGCTGGCGAATACGAATCAGGAGCATCTTACCTTGGTCGTATAGCCTCTTACTATAGCGACGCTCAATGGCCAGCCCTGGAAACAACGTTTTTGGAGCTTTATGCGAGTTGCATGAAGGAGCTTGGTCGTCATGGTGAGTATGTCAGCAGTCTCCTCAGACTCTTGGGCCAAGTCCGACGCTCTCAGCAGACATATCCTTTATCCTCTGTCGACAGATATCTAGCTGAACTCTGGTTGTTCTCGGAGAATCTGACAAGTTCTGTCTCCGCAAAGTTCAGTGACTTCTTTTCTATAAGGAGATTAGCTCCGTATATTCATCATCATCAAGATCGGGATGGTTTCTTCATCTCCATGGACTTAGCTTTCATTGGCGCCAGTGTTGAAGTACCTAATGGCCTTCAAATGACACTTTCGTCGACCCACGAGTCGACTCCATCGACAATCACTTTGCATAGCCACCCCATCAAGATCGTCAACTCACCCATTCGAGTTGAGCTCAACTCTAATCTATCTATCTTTGGCTGGTATGTTATCGAAAAATTAGAGTTGAAAATCGGCAATATCCTCTTCATAGAGAACTACAAAGACAAGTTTTCAGCTCTGGTCGATCAACCGAAGCTCAATCATCATCGTTCGTTGCGATTCTTCATCTATCCGCCATTTCGTTCTCTGCAAGCAACTGCTTGCCCTGCTCATTATCTACATCTAGCACAACCTCGTTCGATACAAATTGAGATGCGGACTGGATGGAACGAGATTCAAGCTTGTACCTTGTCGATGAAATCCGGCACACCTGGTCTTAGACTTCGTTTGCATGATGCTAAAGTTCAGGCAACGGATGGCCTTGAAACGCCATCCTTGACAGGTCCCAGAGAGAGTACGCAGGCAATTCAAGTGACACACTGTCCAGCAGACTCAGAGTACCAATTTTTGATCCCTTACACGGTGGAAAATGCAGACATACCTGTCATTAGTGCCAGATTAGATATCGAGTACTCCACAGCCAAAGGCAACTTTCTTTACTCCAGTGTGGTTGCTATAAACACAATTCTTCCTGTCAGCGTTAATGTCCAGGACCTTTTCAAGGAAAATGCGTTGTTTTCACGCTTCACCATCAGCCCCGCAACGCTTGTCCCACTACGACTCTGGACGTACGAGATGCAGAGCTCAGAAGAAACCTACAGCATAGAATCGCATGCGGATAACGAGGACGCGATGGATGTATTCCCAAAACAGCCTGCAAGCCTAATGTACAAATTCACACGCTTACAACCTACTTCTGTGCTAAGAAACGGAGAACCTCCTCTAGCTCTCTCTGTCAGATTCAGCTGTCTCGATGAAGTTGTCCTCAAAGTGATCGAGCAACATTTCATAGCGTCGGTCACAGCGGGTCCCGTTGCTAGCCTCGCCCAACCGTTGTGTGCACATCTCCTGTCGACATTTCGCTCGCAGTGGTCAGCCCTGGATCTCGAGGTTATCTGTCTGTGCCATGAAATCGAGATCTGGCCGTTCGAGGACCTTGGTTGGGAGGCTGTGTTGAAGGGATTCGATATCACAACAAGCGGTCTGGCAAAGACCTGGCTTCAAGAATGGCATCAACACAATGTTATCATACCTATTTATAGCGACTTGGGTGGAAGTGACCCACCATCCCGGCAGATTGTGATTCCAGTCGACATTCCCAAGCCACCAATTGTTGTTACCGCATCACTCTACGTCGACTCCAGGCAAACCGAAGCTGTGAAAATTGGCGAGGCTCTGCTAGCTGACTTGGAAATTTCAGTCACGCGGGACTGGGCAGCAGCTGAGTCTTTGACTGAAAAAGATGTCCAGCTGCAGATATCTTTTGAGGTGCTGGCACCACCTGATAATTGGACAATTGGTGGTACGAGGAAAGGGCGCTTACTTGCGCAAGACCCGGTGCAATCCATGCCTGTCATCCTCTTGCCTCAGCGAACAGGAAATTTGCTGTTACCATCTGTTGAGGTAAAGTGCTATAAGGTGGAGACATTGGAAAGAGATGGTCCTTCTTCAGAAGGCACAAGGGTACCATGTGAAGTCGACCTCCGAAGTCTGGCTCAAAGTGTGCATGTTGTCAGTGGTATGAAGGAGACTGTCGTTGAGATAGAAGTTGATGCTGAGGCCACAAACCACACTGGTAGCGAAAAAAGAACCTGGCTTGTTGGCAGCAAAGGCAGGAGACCGCTATGACCAATACTGATAGAATACAAGTATGAGTAAGGTGGTCCACTCACACGTTTGCTAAGTAAGATAGAAGGATACGAAAGATGGACCTTAACATCATTTTTGTATACCTGCCGGCTGTGAAAGTTGCGCTTCGGTACAGACACTGAAAAGTCCTTGGCACTGGAACAACAAATTTGAGATACCATACCAACCACTGCTAAAATACACCTTCATATGGTGTCATTAAGCCCCCGATCACACGGTCGTTGTAGAAGGGCGTCGGTATTGCGGACTATTTCATATTGTCCTTCTTGGTCACTCAAGCCCTTAGCCACCATCGATGCTTGTCCAATGGCTCATCAGACTCTTACAATTAAGACGTCCGTGATGTCAGTAGACCATCGGCTGTCATGGCAGCCTGATCAAGCTTGGACCTCAGACATTGCTCGTGTCATTTTCCATCAACCTTTGTGTTTACTTCTCCGAAAGCAGCTGGAATGAAGTTTTGCATCATTAGTACCCAGTCACTTCCGTCATCGTTTGTTTACAAATCTGCTCGCAATTTCATGGCTTATCACAAGGTAAGTGCAACTATTAGATCAAAGCTTACGATAAGAATTTGACAGCTATCAGGCTGCCGGATAAAAATGATAAACCCAACCGGTAATTGTTAGCTATAAGACTCGCGCAACCCCCTTCCAAGCAAACTTATACCTCTCAACTACGAGGGAGTTGTATGTAACTATTTCAGAGAACAGCGCAATCAGAACGCTGTGAACCCTTGACGTTCTCAATCAGCTATGACACCAGCAGCCGAAGGAACGGACGTGAGCGGCGCCCAACTTTCTAACGCCGGCTTTCTACCATATTCGTCCAAGCTGCAGGATGTTGCGGAATTACTCATCGAACATATTGCCAGGCTCCTTGGATCGTCCATCGATCGCGTCCGCCATAGCTACGAAAGCCTTGAGCCGGGCTTCCATCTGGTGTTCAAGAGAGAGCTTTGTCTAAAACACGACAAACTCACGCTGAACGATCACAAAGGCAAGCGCCCACTCCAACTCATTGGCCATGAGAAGCTGGTGCATGCTGTAGCAGACCCTTCAGATGCGCTGGAGATCCTCGCACGACTGCTCGAAAAGGGTCGAGTCGAAGCTGTTAAAGCTGCGAGAAGGGCAGAGAAGGGCCAGCATGCTACAAATCCGCTTGTGATAGATGTCTCGAACCTGATTACACAAGCCGAACTGAGTTCTCAGCATGATATTGAGCTCCGCTTCAATGACCAGGGAATGGCGGCCTCGTGGAAGCACCCTCCAAACATCAGCTTGGAAGGTCTGCAAGAAATCACATCTCTAAGGGATCTTCACTGCCACCAAAATCTGGCCTTGAAACAGCCTATGGAATTTTGTACATTCATGGGTGGCGGTGGTGGCAGTGATGTTATTCAAGCTGCAGCTCTGGCCAAGCTGTTCACGAAAGCTAACCGTATCATGAGAGTGCCTGCAGTCATATCCATCAGAGCCCTACTCTCCAAATCAACATCAGCTGGCGAAAGGCGAAGCGTCTGGCACGAAGATGATCCGAAATGTAATCTACTCGAGAGCTCGAAGGGTGACCTGAAGATAGAGCTCCATCATCAAGGTAATGCACGATTTGTTGAGGATGCCATTGTAGACGACTTCGACAATGTCCGTCTTGTGGTTGACGACAAGTCACAAGATGAGCAGCGGCGCAACCGCTACGAAGGCGCTATCGGGGAGAACGTAGACAGCATTATCGTCGTCGACACGGGTGGCGATGTCCTTGGAGGCATGGATTCACACGCCAGCAAGAAGGCTCCCGACCAGGACCGTCGTACTCAACTAGCCACGGCGCAGATAGCCGCGGCAAAGAACCTTAATGCAATAGTTGCTATCGCCGCCGTTGGGGTCGACGCCCCACCAGATGCACAGCGCAAACTCGAGGCAAGTGATGCGGTATACTACAGGTTCACTGAGGGAGATAAGAAGTATTTGAAGGAATTGTATTCAAAGTGGCATTTCAATGGAACGCCGGAAAATCTAAAACAACATCCAGAACACTACGGCAAGACACCATTTGCGATGCTTGCTTCCTTCGATCTGCAGCCAGGCCAGAGGGGCTCTTTTCATGCGCTGCCTCTGCCGGAGTCAGTCATCAACGACTTTGACAACCCATGGGCTTGCATCACCTGGGTAGCGCCCGAGATGAGCTGCTTGATCCTAGTAAACCAAGCCAAACTGCTGTCGGTGATCGCGCCACAGAGAAATGACTGATGGGCTGAAATAAGACCGGGGAGGCCGGACTGTACAGGAACAAAAATCTATGTTTCCAAGAATGGCAGGCAATCTAGTTCGACCCCACAAACGCGTTCCAGTTGACCAATCCATTCTTGCATGAATTTGTGATCTCTGGGCCAGTGGCTGAGATAATATCCCTCCCGTTCCTCTGGATTTTGAAGTTCACCATACCAGTACGTCCATCCAACGTCACAGAGAAGTGATTGATGCCGCTGTGTGTGGCGCGGAGACTGCTACCAGCACCGCCAATGGAAACAATGACATCAGACGGTTCAGCGACGAGGACAGAGACGAAGATATTGTCTTGCGAGACCAGTTCTGGCGCTATGGCGGGCTGACCTTGAGCCGGGTTGTTGCCGGTAGTACCACCACTGTACCCGCCCTTGCCAGGATTGCGTTTGTACCAGAATGTTATCCCTTCTTCGGGGCTGGCAACAAGACTGTTGAAGGAAGAAATAGTGCTGCTGCCTGTTTTATAGGTGTCGATGTAGTAGGGCAGGAACTTCAACCAGGCTTCGTGGGGCATGTCGACCACATAGTCGGCACCCTTCGGGACAGAACTTTGGTGGATAGGGCCAATGTAGCTAGATTCACCAAAGTCATTCCAGGACAGGATCTGCACCATCGCGGGTTGTAAGCGGACGACTTGTTGCCAGCGGTCATGCCAGAGATTGTCGCCGCGCCACAGCCAGTTTTTGTGCCAATTCGGCATGTTGGTGTAGAACCAAGGTGACACAGGCATCATGAATGGCTTGCCGCTTAACATGTTCGTCCATTGCTCATCGGCCTCGGTGGTTTTGTCTTCAGCGCCATCAGGCCATGCATCCCAGGAGAATGCACCATCGGCGGTTTCCAGGTGAGACGCGAAACCTGCAGGACCCAAAGAAGACCAGTCAGGGATGAAGAAGCAACCAGTTGCGCTTTTGATGCCGGACCAGTCGCCGGTGTTGCTGACACCTTCGAAGGTGGAAACGAGCGGCTTGCCGTTATATCTGAATTGTGCATGGGAGGCCTTGTACTGGTTGATCTTGTTGATGACTTGATCCATACCCCAAGCGCCCATGCTGAGATAGTCGAAAGAGAGGAACATCTTGAAATCGCCGACAGCTTCGGCGGCAGAGTAAGCGGCGGCAAGGACGGCGTCGGTATTGGGATCACCAGCAGCAATGTTCATCGCAAAGCCATCGATCTTAGCAGCTTTTGCCATGGTGAGGTCGGATACCCAATCTTCGTGAGACATGTGGGCGCCATTCCCAGCCTAGAACAAGGGTTAACTGGATGTTCTTGGAATAGAGGTAGAGACTACTGGCAATGAAATGGGCAAAGACGAATCTGTCTTCGGCAGCGGCTACGGCAGCGGAGATCACTGCAAGAGCTAGTGAGAGGAACGTCTTGAAGAGCATGTTGTGCGATAGAGGGCAAGACAAGTAGGTTGTATGGTGCTTGAGGATGATGGAGGCAAGGATACAGGGCTGTTCTCTGTCCAGCTCAAATAACGATGGATATTGTCGGCTTCTCAGCACGAGAGTGAATTGGTGCCGGCATGAGTGCGAACACATCCATCCCTCATGTTCCTCCTTCGCTATCCGTGAATTTGGCTGTACTTGCACCAGAACCTTCACTCTTCTCACTTTCTCTTTATGCGCTAGCCGGCAACGACAACGACTCTCTTATAGCATTATCGAAAACACATTGTGTACTTCCAATCCGCATTTCTGGTTCCCCTTCTATCGATCTCCCGTTCGCTCGGTTTTCGCCGCCTGAGTCTACAAGACGCATGCAACCACAACATGCTTGGGAAATTATTCCTCTTCCTTCTGAGATGACCTTGAAGCCCATCTCCAACGTGGGCAAAAGAGATTAACTTACCCTGCTGATGACTTCTGTGATTGCGTTTCTCCTTACTCCTGGATCGAGAAAAAGGGTTCCACTTCTTCATCTTCAAGCAAGGAAAGAGTTCTAAGGCCAGCCAGAATATCCAAATCTCGATCTCAATACTTCAAAATGACGCATGTGGAGTGATTGCGGTGGCAAGAGGGAACAACTGATACATGGAGAAGCGAGGCGTGTTCTGTCTATTGCGAAGAGACGTCAAATGGCATTTAGTCAGCTGAGGTCTAACCCGCTTTAGTGCGAGCCGATTTGGGTTGGGCGCCACGCTAAGCATCACTCTGCTTCCACAACGCGGGAATTCCCGCTAACTGTGTATGATATCGATGTCTCCCCTCAGCATATTTTTCATGTTCAAGGCCTCATGTACGCTCTGGATTCAGATCTCTAGATTCATGCCGCGTCTCTGATGACTGCTTCAGTTACGGCCAACTCATCCGCAGCTTTGGAAACGCCTACCAAACATCCTTCTGAGGCTTGATGTATGTCGTTGAAATTCCGTTTGCATTGTTAGACAGATGCCCCAAATGGCACCCAAACCCGCTACAAAATTTCAGTCGGCTCTCTAGCCGAAGCACACAAGGTCGAGAAGATCTCAGGGAGCTCTTCGCCCATACACCAAAACCTCCATAAAAGAGAATCACATCTGAAGAGATAGCTGTGTTTAATGTTGATGCAGATTTGGAACCCGGCCTTCGGTCAATTGTATAGTAAGATATAAAAGCTAACTCTCATGCGCCGAAAATAAACTAGCCTCAGACAGAAGCCAAGCTAGACCTTACTCGGTGCCACCGAGAAATGAGTTCCAGTATCCAATCTGAATCTAGATTGTTGCAAAAATAGAGATTGACCAAGGTCCCCCCAGAAAACGAGGTTAAAGTCACTATGGTAAAAGATGCTGGAGAAGCCAGATAATCGAACCAGATCAACGAAATCTGTACATCATTCATTACCAGAGACGGCTTAACGTTGGGCTAGAACTCACTTTTCGGCGGCACCGAGTGTACAACGAGAGGCACTTCTGCGAGCTAATCGAAGATATGACAGCACTTGTCAATGCACTGGTGGAGCTCTCTCCAGCTGCCCAGGAGCGTCAGCGGCAACTAAGTGTTGAAGAGGTTGACAAGACGAAGGCAGCGCCCACGCCTTGATACTCTGAAAGAAGTGCCTCCGCAATCTGCTCCACCACAATCCCTGTCTACCTGAGGTGGCAGAGATATTGGTCCAAGAGCCACTTTTTCAAATATTTACACCTCTGTCTTCTGTAGATCCATCTGGGTCAGTAGGATCAATGATAGCCTCAAGAAAGGACCAGGTTTTCGGTCTCGAATGGCAGCGCATCTGCAAGGCTGTTGAGCCATTCCTTGTCGCTCAATTCGCCACCGCTCTTGAACTTGTTGAGCAGATACTCGCCATCCATGATGCCGTGTACATAGGATTCTCCTTTAAATTGGTGAGTGACGGGCTCGTTGTCGAGCTCACGAAGGATGAAGGGCATGTCACCGCCCATTAGCAGCCACACTTGATCTCCGAGTACGCAACTCTGATGACACAGGCCCATATAGCCTGAATCAGTTATGAAAAGCCGCTGCCTTGTCGTGGATTGGATTATACAAGCCGTCATAAAGTCTCCAGCATCGGAACGTAGAAGCGGCTCACCATTGGGTATGCTTATCAACGAGCTCGGGTTAGGTTCTGGAATTCTTGTAGGAGGCGCTAATCTAGCTGAGCGGTGTACAGCCTCGTTTTCGCCAGGGAGATAATCTGTGAGTCTCAAACGCGCGTAAGCTATGCTAATATGCTCACCAGTTGGTCCATAGATTTTGTCAGGCGCATAAGAATTTACGATTTGCGACCACTGTCCGTCGTTCAGCACATTATCACCAATACCCTTACCGTCTTCCAAGTTGTTGTCCGGTTCCGATAACACCTGGATTGTGCCCACATAAACACCATTAACGCCTAATGTCAGGGTTCTTTCAAGCACGGCAGATGCTCGGCTCGAGCCTGTAGAGTTGTAATGGCGATCAAGGCCATGTTTCACACTTTTGGGGCCTGAGGTGAGTCGTTCATTATATCGGTGGGCCTCAAAACGATAATCGGGTACCCACGATGGCAATTCTCTTGGTCCGGACCTAGCTACCTTGGAAGAAGGACCAATGCTGACCAGTGTGAGAACGGACAAGTCAGAGTACCTCTTCACAAAGAACTTGGTGATGTAGACAAATAAGTCCCGAAAGGGTTGCGAATAGTTGACAGGGAACGTCAGTGGCTCCACGTCCTCAGCAACTCCCAACAAGGCGTACACGTGATCCTGAGGTAGTGAAACTTTTTGTCCCGCCAAGACTCTCATCAAGTTAAGCAGCTCGAAGCAATAAGGAGCTGCCTGGCGGATGAGTGTAGCTTTGAACCAACTAGAATTCATTGAGTTGCAGACTGATATATAGCCCGCGAGCCCGTCCACCTCCTTGAGATTTGCAAGGTGGTCCGTAGTTCGACGGTCGAGAGCTTCCGCCACTTCACAGATCATTGTCCACTTTTGGATAGATGTGGAGAATTGTCCACAGACTATGCGCGCCTCTTGAGATAAAACGACCTCTTGAAATACCCACAATCTGGAGAACCACGGACGGCTGAATAAACCCCTAAAAGCCGACCATTCCGGAGAGTCTGCTGGGCTTATTTCAAGCGGGTAATATTCCGTTCTAATATTCCGCTTCCAATTATTTCCCAGCTTCTTCACCTGATCCACAACTTGTTTCGCGACATTGTCGATAAGGTCAAATGCCAGGGCTGTCTGAGCATCCGCAACACCGAGCCACACAATAACCTGCGAGGCTCTACCAAAAACCCGCCTCATCAGCTGCACCTGGTGTGTCTTCTCCTCTTCATTGTGCTGATCAATGCAAAGCTGATCAGCCCATAATGGAACATCCGCATCAATTCGACGAATCTGCTTTAAAGCTTGCCACAGATTATCGCTCAACCACAGACTGCCCGCCGAGGTGTCATCGTCGCAGCGACATTCTCTATCGGCTGGACCATCGCCCCAGCAATAAGATATAGCATGGTAGAAGGGGAGATGATCGACTTGGTAGGTTTGTAGCCTGATTCGGAGCGGGCTGTCGTCGGGGTCAGATAGTATGGTTGAGATGCGAATGTGGTTGTTAGGGAGCAACTATTGTCTAATTGGTCCGCTCCTTTCAGAAGCGTACTGTGCCGAAGAGCTAGCACGTCGCCGGAAGCCCTTATCCAGCCCTGGACGCTGGTCATACATTTTGAAGTACGGAGCCATTGAGCCATTTGGCCCTGTATCAGCACCTATACAAGACATGCTGGTTCAGGAATTTCGTATTATCTAGAATCTTGGGGAAGTTGATTTTTGCTGATATAGGTCTAACTAGTGCGAAGTCTCTTATAAAGTGCCTCGCAAAGCGCTGATGACTTGTCAGAGAAGGTTGGATACAATGAATGTTATTGACGAAAGGCTGTAAAATGTAGATGGAGCTCAGATACACTTCGCTCCTCATGTCGGCAGGACCAACGCTTCAGTAACTCGAGTAAAGCCAGCGAAGAACCATTCACTAATTGTACCCCATCGAGTCAGTCTCGATTTTTGAAGCCAGCTTAGTTTGACGGGCATGTGTGTGAAAGCGAAGGAAGTCTTTCACCATAGCTAAATCAGATAACAGAATCTAGGGGAAGGCCATTAATAGTGGAAAAGACAGAAACCAAGTTGGCTCTCCTGCGAAGCGTGCGATATCTTAAGTGAATTCTGATGGCCTTTATACAACCACAGGTACAGGTCGACTTCAAACAGGCTTGTAAAACCCATTAAGCTCCACCATATCCTCATTCAGTACTAATCAAAGGCGGCTACTACGAGTTAGCTCGTAGATACGAGGACCTCATGAGGACAGCCAGGGACGTAGCGTATAACAAGACGATAGACTGAGTAGGTAAAGGTGAGTTGGACGGCAAGTGAAAGGTACGGCGGACTGTGACGGGCTTAAGGTCAATTTAAACCTTAGGGACTCTGCTGTGGTTGTTTCTGGATTCTCTGTACTGTGGTAGGAGGCGTAAGTATTGTTAGCTCCAAGCTAGAAGATTTGTATGTGATACAGAATTGACGAAGATACATCTTTCTAAAGAGTATTAGTTTATTTAGCTTCTAGATCAGTGTCAATCATTATCATCACTGAGGGGTCAAGACTTACAGGCGCTTTGGTGGACGCCAGGCCCTTGTATTTATCGACAAGTGGCTAGTACTAATCCACGCTAACAATACTCATGCCTCCCAGCTTAGTACACCTGTCTGTAGTGATTCCTGCGGGCTCTTTGGGCTTTGCCGCGAGTGCTGGTGTGGTTGCTGCCTTGTGCCCTAACTTGGACACGTTGTGACCTCGTGCTGGTGAAGTGACTCGATTGTCAGACAAAGTGCATCTGGCACCTGTATATTTGGACATGGACGACAACAAGAGTCTGGGCGTGGCAAGAATCCTTCGGAGGTGATGTAACGTCCCAAATTGTAAGTCTGCTTGATGACATTGTGAAGAGCGACAATCGGGCGTTGAAAAGGGAAGGTCTTGGGGTCCATGGCCATGAGCATCAGATGACAGCCTTTCATAACGCTGAACCACATTGGATTTTCGGTACGATTGGGATTGACTAGGTCAATGTCTTCGCTGCACATGTTCCAGAGATTGAAAACCATGGTACATGTGTGCCACATCAGGTATGCCTGGGCAAAATTCTTGATTTCAACAGCGCCAAATGAGGCCTTTGCCAACTCGAGGATGTTCTTTTCCCCATTCGTCTGCAGACATTGGAGATCGCGGCATTGCGAGGAGAGATGGATGTGGCAGATATGTCAAGCTGATGTGAGGAAGAGATTTCGATGTTGTGGATCTGAAGCAGGAGAGGACAGGCACAGCTGCAAATTACTAAGGGTGTCCTGACCTCCTAATATCCATCAGAAGCACAATGAGAAATATTCAAGATACTTCTCTATTGCGTCTTCAGCGTCCTCCCGTACAGCTCTTTATTTGAAGTGTTGTTCTTTGCTCGAAGTGCCTGTACAAGTTCTAGTGTATCACTGTGCTCAGCTCACCTGTTCTTGATACTCGCATCACGGAACTCTTCAGGAACCTTCAAGCCATGTGCGAAAAGCCGCCATGTGTCATTCTTCTTGATGAAATGGGGGACATCATCAGACATCAATGACCATGGCTACTAAGCCACTCTTAAGCAACAATCTGGTATGATGGCAGCCAGTGATAGCACCGTTCTCATATTTGGAACAACCAATCACCCATGCATGGTGTTACAGGACATGGGTTTGAATCGACGTCTCGGAAAGAAATTTTTTCATCGACCGTCCCGATCATGGAACCACTGTATCGATCCTGCGGTTGCGCATGTCAAGATTTCCAAGCACTATCACTGACTGGACCGAACTGGCAGAGGTGATGGTGACAAGGAACTACTCGTGTGCCGACATCATCAGCGACTTCATCAGCGTCTTATCTGAAGCTCAGTACGGCAAACAATAAGAGCTAGGTGAAGCAAGCCATGCTCTGAAGTAAGTCATGCCCCCGAACAAGTACGGCAAAAGCACCTCACTGACTCCTCAGCAGTCACAAATGCTATGGAACGATCAAAAAATATGGACTCCAATTTGCAAGGACACTGAAGGGGCACTATCATTTGATAATGCAATGGAGTAAGGGTTCATTCAATTCACAACTCCATGACTGCAAGACATTATGATCGAGGTGAAGAGAATCGAAGGTATTACTTCTGCTCACGTGCCTATGCACACCCCCAGGCAACTGAAACCTGCCCGGAAGCCATTGTAGACGAGGTTGGTCGGTACTTGCCGGACCAGAGAGCTTTAGATGGGAACTAACGAAAATCAATATGCTACTCGATGAAAGGTTAGAACAAGATTTGGCAACTGACATCGCCTCCCCACGGACAATTGTAAACAGCTTGCGCTGTGGGGCTTTGGCGCCTGCAGAGCATTTTCATCCGAACTTTGTATTGATATTTCTACGTAGTAGTGGTAGAAAGGATGGGAACGCAAAGCTACGGAGGATTCACAGGCATACCCAGGATGTTGTACGGAGTATTGTTTAGGAATCTACTACGTAAGCTAGAGAGCAATCTCGGAGCTGGGTTTTATACTAGTAATAGGAATGCAAACTCGCCAAGTTTACTAGCTCACTGTTGTCACCACCAATTGATGCATTGAGTTGATAGTGCTCTCCAGCGCAGGCTTTGCAGCGCACCTGATATCTGGTACTGGATACTACGTAGTGGAACAAACCTCGGCAGTCGCCAGAACGTTATCTTTTCCGCATGTCGTCTCAGGAAACAAAGCAATGCAACGCCCACCGGCCCCAGACTTTGCAGGGTTGCCTTGAAATTTAGAACGAAATGCTTCGCCTCCACTCCAGTCTTGCACTATTGGTCAACTGTGCATATCAATTTCCCCGCTGATGGGCTTGGCGGGTGCTATATTTCGACAGAAATGATGCTACTACGTACTAGTAGTTACAAAACAAGCGAGATAACCGTCCTTGGCCCGAGATTGTGTGACAGGGATGGTGAGACACAGCCCCCAGCATGCATGCTGCAAACAGACTCCTTATGAATGTCGCCTATCAGAGTCAGCTCTCCACCACCGGCTGCCAAGAGTCGCCTCCGGGCTCTTACTTGCTGCCGTGAGGCGTGATGCATTACAATGGTGGGGAAGGAATAATTAGACCTGGGCCACTATGGAGCCATAGGTACTCCGTACCAGCACCTAATTCACTCCTCACGTCACACAAACCAGCCTGACCCCGTGAGGTTGATCCGATTTTTAATACGGCTCGCATGCCCGCTTCGCGACATCATCTCCTGCTCCCGCTTCCGAAACAAAACCCTCCTCCGTCCTCCGCCCTCTGTCCTCCCTGCTCAATGTCATCGACTTGAACTGCAATCAGTCGATCAACACCTCCATCACCGACACGATGGGTGTGTTTAATCGCAAGAGCACAAGCCCACCTGGCTATCCTAATAGAGATAGTTCACCGTTGAAGACCGAATACAACGCGCAAGCGTATTCACCAGAAAGTGGCTATCCACCACAAGAAATCCATGGCATTGAGTTCAGCGAAGAGACCAGGCTTACGCGTGGACTCAAAGCCCGTCACATTACCATGATTGCAATCGGAGGCGCGATTGGTACCGGGCTCATTATTGGTACTGGGGTTGCGCTCAGTCGAGCCGGTCCGGCGTCCATTTTGATTTCTTACACCCTCGTGGGCTTTCTGGTATGGATCGTTATGAGCGCTCTGGGAGAGATGGCAGCTTGGCTCCCACTTTCTTCTGGTTTTACTGGCTACGCTGCAAGATTCTGTGATCCCGCTCTTGGTTTTGCCTTGGGTTGGACGTACGTTAGATAATCCTCGTTCCTGCTCAAGCCACGTCACTGACCGTAGTAGATACTGGTTCAAGTACATCATTGTCACGCCGAACCAACTCACCGCAGGCGCGCTTGTGCTCCAGTTCTGGGTGCCTCGATCTAGAGTCAACCCTGGTGTTTTCATCGCAGTCTTCTGGATCGCCATTGTTTGCATCAACTACTTTGGCGTCAAGTTCTTTGGTGAATTCGAATTCTGGCTCAGTACAATCAAAGTCGGCATCATCGTTGGTGTTATTCTCCTGTCTCTTATCCTGGCACTAGGCGGGGGACCTGATGGCGACCGTAAAGGTTTCAGATATTGGAACGACCCAGGCGCTTTCAGACCCTACCTCTCGACCGGCGATTGGGGCAACTTCCTTGGTCTCTGGAATACTATGGGTAAACCTATCACAACTGCTCAATGATGGGATGTTCGCTAATCATTGGCAGTTACGGCCGTGTTCGCTTATCTGGGAACCGAGTTGGTGGGCGTCACGGTGGGCGAGGCTCAGAATCCACGTAAGACAATTCCTCGCGCGATCAAGCTCACCTTCTACCGAATCCTGTTCTTCTACGTGCTCAGCGTATTCCTCCTGGGCATGATCGTTCCTTACAACTCCGATCGTCTCGCTTTTGCCGTCGAAAGGGGCGGCACGACCGCTGCTGCGTCCCCCTTCGTGGTCGCGATTCAGATTGCAGGAATCCCTCATCTCCCTGGAATTTTAAACGGCTGCATTTGTATATTCGTCTTCTCAGCCGCCAACTCAGACCTCTACATAGCCAGCCGAACGCTCTACGGCCTCGCAAGTGAAGGGTATGCTCCGCGCATCTTCAAGCGCACCGATCGTCGAGGCGTGCCCATCTACGCCCTTGGATTGTCCTCCATTATAGCATTCATAGCGTTCTTGAACGTGGCAGACGACTCACGGAGGGTGTTCATCTACTTCGTCAACCTGGTCACCATCTTCGGCCTCCTGACCTGGATCTCTATCCTTGTCGCACACATCTGGTTCGTTCGTGCTCGCCAAGCTCAAGGAATTCCAGAATCTGCATTGGCCTTCAAAGCGCCCTTGGGCGTCTGGGGCTCGTATGGCGCACTGGCATTCTGTATTTTGATTGCCTTGACCAAGAACTTCTCTGCATTTGTCGGAAGATTCCAAACTGCTGATTTCATCACGGGATACCTGGGTATACCGCTGTACCTCATCATGCTTTTCGGCTATAAATTCTGGTACAAGACTAAGACGGTAAGCCCGGCAACGGCGGACTTCTACACTGGGAAGGATCTCATTGATCGTGAGGAGGAGGAATTCTTGGCCCATAAGGCTGAGAGGGAGAGGTTGGGCGGAAGGAATGGCAGTTGGTTCTACAGGACGTTTGTGGCGTGGTTGTTCTGATCTAGAGATATCTGTTGGGATGGGCTCTGATATGAGTTGATGCCAATCTTCAAATTGTACTTGAGTCTTCATATCGTTGCACAAGTGTGAAGCTGAGTAGCTGTGAAAAATATTTATGGTCATAGGTGTTGCCTGGCACTGCCCTTCAGAGGTCTAGTGGTAATTTGGTGCATAACGGTTTTCGCTACGGAGGGCGCCATCAAGATTGTTAGGCTGAAGCTAGTGGGCTTAGACCGGAACGGCTTTTTAAGTACATCTTGGAAGCCTTCACACATAGTTGTATGTAGCTTGAAGCAATATCTACAAGCTAAGAGATTGTTGGTGATGCGTGGCCAATAAAGGTGTATGGCACTGTATCTTTGTAACAGGTGGATGTTGGGCGCAAAGTCAAACAACACTGATGTCCACCCTGGTAGTATTGCTAGAAGCGGGAAGATACGAGTACGCAAGATTTACGCAAGACTTATGCAAGATTTACGCCCCATCAGGCATAGTCAGCCTACACCCGGGCACCAGAACCGAGGCTCTAGCCTCCACACTGAGTCGTGGTCATAGACGCAATCTTATGTGCTTGGCTATGCACAGCGGGCAGACTGAACGGAAGAACTGTTGTCCGCCTCTTCACTTCTGTTCATACTATTATTTTCTTTTCGTACATTGTAGACCCTTTCTGACACAGCTCTTTTCACTCTGCTCGCAACTTCAAGAACCTAGGGCGCCCTCCTGGTCAGGCCCACTTCCCCATTCTAATCTTAGCATTAAGACTACGGCATCTCTTTCAGGCCCCATGTTCAATATAATTTGGAAATATATTTCCCTGCGGTAGACAAGACCCTGCCGTAGGTAGAGCTGGTACTCAACATGGCTCTCATACCGCGACAAATCGCGGCTTTGACCGTCAAAAATCTTCTCATCACTCTCGTTCGACATTGGTTCTCTACTCCGTTTCGCGCATTTTTACTACCTTGTATTTTCATTGCTTTCATGTATAGAGTCCTTCCTACTACCAGTGTTCACAGCGATTAACAGTGCTAGTTCATACTCACGGAACCTCTTCATTCCACCTTCGGTTTATGGCATCGGTGAGCCGACTCCGGTCCGGTCGTTAGGCGATGCATTGGATCTGGTGTCAGGAGGAAGAGACAAGCTAGTCCTGGTCAACAGTGGATTCACAGGAGGAGATATCGAGCAAGTCATCAACGGCATTGCCGAGCCGGCACGGCAGGCAGGGACGCAGGTTGATATCATCGCCAATGAAGGAGATCTGGCCAACATTTGTCGCAACTCCCTTCGAGGCACCTCCTCTTGCATCGCCGCAGCAGTGTTCTACTCGTCACCAAACGAAGGGCAGGGTGAAAGATGGAATTACTCTATCCGAGCAGACGGTGCTCTGGGGTCCAAGATTGTGGTAGACTCCGACACGAACGATGTTGAAATATATGCACTACCTCTCCAGCACGCGATTGACTTTACAATCGCTGGCCTCAACACCTCATCTGATGTTACGCCGCTACCAAGTGAAGTGCAAAAATATCCTTACACGTCGGAGACAGCCGAGCAGAGGAGAGACAATATTCGGATACGATACATGGGCGGAATTATAGACATTTTGGCAGTGGCCATCTTCATTGGTATGGTTGGCACGACTTATCAGCTGACTGGCCTCATTGCTGTGGAGCGTGAGATTGGAATGGCGCAACTACTAGATTGCATGATGCCCAATCGTGCTCGATGGCAACCACAGATGGTCCGGATCATCTCCAACCATCTGGCTTTCGACATCATCTATGCTCCAGGATGGATCATCATTGGCATTATTCTTTCTGCAGGGATATTCAGTAGGACGTCCGGAGCCATTGTCGTCATTTATCATATTCTTTCTGGTCTGTCTTTATGTTCCTTCTCGATTCTTGGTGGCGCATTCTTCCGTAAAGCTCAACTAAGTGGAATCACCATGGTGATTGTCAGCTTACTTTTAGCTGTTGTCTCACAAGTGGCCTCCAAAGCTAGTACTGGCGCAGTGGCTATATTGTCGTTACTCTTCCCACCGATGAACTACGTTTACTTCACGATTTTGATGGCTCGGTGGGAAAGACAGAACGTTGGAACCAATATGGTGAAGCCAGCTCCCGAAAATCCATGGACACTTCCTGGGATTGCATTGTGGATCTTTCTCATCGTTCAGATCATCGTCTTCCCGATTCTGGGTGCGTTGGTGGAGCGGACCTTGTATGGAACAGGATCAAAGAGCAGAACTGTCTCCGAATCGGCTGAAGCCCCTGATGCAGTAATACTCAATTCCTTTTCCAAAGAGTTCCGACCAAGCTGGCTTCGCAAGCATTTCGGATTCATGTTTGGCTCAAGAAGGGATACTGTTCTTGCGGTCAACGACCTCAGCGTCTCGGCCATCAGAGGCCAAATCATGGTGTTGCTGGGTGCAAATGGTAGTGGCAAGTCGACCACTCTCGATGCCATTGCTGGGCTGACGAAGGTTACCTCTGGCTCTATCCACCTCAACATTGCTCAAGGTGCAGGTGGATTTGGCCTGTGTCCTCAAAAGAATGTCTTGTGGGATGATCTCACGGTACAAGAGCATGTCTCGATCTTTAACAAGATTAAATGCTTCGGGAAGCCCGACTCTAAGGCTGGTCTCAAAGCCCTCATCTCGGCGTGCGACGTTGGGCATAAACTCCAATCTAGAACCAAAACATTGTCTGGAGGTCAGAAGCGCAAGGTCCAGTTGGCCATGATGTTTACCGGTGGATCCAGCGTTTGCGCCGTCGATGAGGTTTCAAGTGGTCTGGATCCAATATCTCGACGCAGAATTTGGGACATCTTACTGGCCGAGAGAGGCACCAGATCCATCATTCTGACCACACATTTCCTGGACGAAGCAGATTTGCTGTCTGATCATATCGCTATACTCTCCAAAGGTTCTCTCAAAGTGGAGGGTACAGCAGTTGAACTAAAGCACAAGTTTGGTTCTGGCTACCGAGTTCATGTCTACAACCTTCCAGATGGAAGGCCGCTTCCGGAGTACCCTGGCATACCTTCTGAAACGCAGTATGACAAGAGAATATTCATACTTCAGGACTCGGCTCAGGCCGCAGAATTCGTGTCCCAGCTTGAGAACGAGGGGATTAAGGAATACCAAGTCAGCGGTCCGACCATTGAGGACGTCTTCTTGAAGGTTGCAGAAGAAGTGAGGTCGGACTCTCCTGAGCCTTTGCGTGCAGGATCCCCCACAAGCCAAGACGACAAGGATGGTGCGGTCGTGGTCAAAGAGAAGTCCGTCGGGGCTCATACTCAAGGAGCTCCCGAACTAGTCAGCGGAAAACGCATTGGTATGCCAAAGCAAGCTTGGGTGCTCTTCTGCAAACGCTTAACAGTTTTCCGACGCAATCGTCTGCCATATATTGCTGCACTCTTGATCCCAGTTATCGCCGCCGGACTTGTGACGTTGTTCCTCAATAACTTCGAATCAGCGGGTTGCTCTCCAACGGAAACGATCACGGTGTCTGATGTCTCTTCCCTTGTGTCTCAAGTTGATTTCGACCTTGTTGTTGGCCCAAGAGATCGCCTGTCGCCGTCCTCCTTGGAGATGTTTGCCAGAACCCTCCCTGGTGGCGGAGGAGAAACCACTCCTGGCAACCTCACAGGCTTGATGAATTCCATACATATGGTGGATACACTTGCCGAATTTAATGACTATATCGACACGAGGTTTGCAAACGTTACTCCTGGTGGTTTCTTCTTGGGCGATTCATCCTCACCACCAACATTCGCCTGGCGAGGAAATAGAGACATATCATTCGCAACCATCACACAAAATGCACTTGACGTCCTTCTTACCAACATTTCGATCAGCAGCCAGTATCAGGCATTTGACATACCCATCCCCGCTGACGTTGGCAAGGCTCTTCAGCTGATCGTCTACTTCGGTCTCGCCATGGCAGTCTACCCTTCATTTTTCGCTCTCTATCCAACGGTCGAGCGTCTACGTAATGTCAGAGCTCTGCACTACAGCAACGGCGTACGCAGTCTGCCTCTTTGGCTGGCCTATGTCTCCTTCGATTTTATCATCGTGGTGGCCACCAGCGTCCTTGCGACAATCATATTTCGAGCTGTCTCCAATATCTGGTACCACCTCGAATACCTATTTGTCGTCCTTTTCTTGTACGGTCTCGCATCAACGCTGCTCTCGTATGTCATATCCCTGTTTTCCAGATCGCAATTAGCTGCTTTTGCTTTCGCAGCAGGCAGTCAAGCAGTCATGTTCTTGCTGTACTTCATCGCGTATATGTCCATACTCACGTACTCACCAACAGCCAAGATCGATTCACATGTCACGATTGCACATTTCACGATTGCCATCATATCACCAGCTGCAAATCTTACCAGGTCGCTCTTCATCGCATTGAATGTGTTCTCCCTTGTTTGTCGAGACCGCGAATTCGCTACCTATCCGGGTGAGATAACTTTGTACGGCGGTCCGATCCTATATCTCATCCTTCAATCATTCTTCCTGTTCGGTCTTCTCCTTTGGTGGGATAGTGGCCCGCTGCTCCGCCGTCTTCGAAAACGATTCCGTACTGTTGACGCCGAAGACAAATCCACTGCTGAAGAAGAAGTGTCAAAGGAACTCACGCGTGTCACTTCATCTCGAGACGGTCTGCGTGTCCTCAATGTCACCAAGCAATTCAAATCGAACCTCGCTGTGGATCACGTTACTTTTGGCGTTCCCCGTAGCGAGGTTTTTGCGCTCCTTGGCCCTAATGGTGCTGGAAAGTCAACCATCATCTCTCTCATTCGAGGAGACATCCAGCCCAGTCGTCAGGGAGGAGACATATTTGTAGAAGATGTCTAGGTGGCCAACAACCGTGCACAGGAGAGATCACACCGAGGTGTATGTCCTCAGTTCGATGCTATGGACACCATGACTGTGGTTGAGCACTTGAACTTCTATGCTCGAATCCGAGGAGTGCCTGATCCCACACACAACGTCAATGAGGTGATGCGAGCAGTCGGTCTCCAGCCTTATGCAAATCGTATGGCGGCTAAACTCTCGGGCGGTAACAAGCGCAAGCTCTCGCTTGGAATCGCTCTCATGGGCAACCCTTCGGTGCTGCTCCTTGACGAACCTTCTTCCGGCATGGACGCTGCCAGCAAACGAGTCATGTGGCGGACTCTTGCTTCCGTTGTGCCCGGCCGCTCGCTCGTGCTCACCACACACAGCATGGAGGAAGCCGACGCGCTCGCCAACCGAGCAGGAATCATGGCGAGTAGAATGCTGGCGCTAGGAACAACCGACTACCTCCGACGAAAACACGGTGACGCCTATCACGTGCACCTCGTACACAAAGCCGCACCCCACACCGCTGACGCCGACATGGAAAGAATCCGGCAATTCGTCACGGCCGAGTTCCCTGGCGCCAACGTCGAAGAGAAGACCTGGCACGGCCAGATGAGATTCTCCGTGCCCATGAACACTCGCAATGCCTCCGTCGTGTCGGAAAAGGACGCCATCGCCGTGGGAGATCGTGCTCCGGCCACCTCCATGGGCGCCAGCATCTCCGCGCTCTTCACGTTACTGGAGAAGAACAAGCAGAACCTCGGCTTCGAGTATTACAGTGTCAGTCAGACGACGCTGGATCAGGTCTTTTTGAGTATCGTCGGTAAGCATAATGTCGAGGGCGAGGATCATCGGGGTACGCGTAGGAATGGGGCTGCTGGGCCGAGGAATGGAGTTGGTTGGGCAGGGCTTTGTTGTTGGCCGGTTGCTTAGCTGATTGCTGGGAGGAGACGGGGGTGGGAATGGCGTTGCGTACGATGTTAATGGTTTGCGGTTTGGGGGATTCGGTTGGTACTAGATATATATACCATGGGACTTGGGTGTAGATGCTTGCTTTTCATGAACAGTCCTTCTACCTGTTACCTCTAAGAGAATCAATGATCAAATGAAGTTTAGGAAGCTGTATTTGGTCATGCGGAAGGAGCGACCTGCTCCAATAAGCCTAGCGCTCTTTACAGCTTCTAAATTCTCAGTTTCTCGTAGAGAGTTCCCTGGACTACATCATCAATTAGCTGGACGCTACCCAATCAACCTCCAAAGTCCCTGCTAGTGTTCCAATTCATCCACACTGTTTGGCGTTTTCGCTATCTCGTCCAGGCTAAGAGTCATAAGTACCCCATTACTTCTTGGTGATAAATCCTGGATCCCTGTTGACCATACAAACAAATCGTATGCTCGAAGTTCTGCAGCATCTCACCGCTGCCTCGTGAGAGGTGTCCATAGTGTCTGTCTGGCACGGGCATGTAGTTCTCTGCGTGGTAATCGGTAGCTTCTGTGCCGCCGGAAGGTTTAGACGGCTTCGAAGTGTGCTGCTGTTGTTTGTTTGTTTCGTTGCCGGTAGTGTATTGGAGGTAAGTCGAGGTGTTCTTCTGTGGTGCCATTAAAGTACGAGTAAATAGCAGCATTTTTTCGGGGGAGGGGCGAGCCGTTGCTGATTACTTAGTAGGAATATTCTCGGCATAATTTTCTCTTGACAGATCGGGGATGTCGCCTTCTTCTTCTTCTTCGTCTGGCGTAGAGGTTGTATTGTGACTTGCGTGAGGTTTTGAGGAGTACTGGTCTCTATGAGGGGACTGTGTTCCTGCTTGAAGAGATCGCCACCTATATCGCTGGTCATGGTGCTGTTGGTGGTGAGCTTGTGGATACTTTCCTTTTGCGTGGCGTCAGGGGTCTTTTCCGAGGCGTGCTGAGCACGATATTTTGGCGTCGTTGGAGTACCTCGGGTCGTCTGGTTGAACCAACCGTGATTGTTATCTTCTGTCTTGCGATCATCGTATGTGTTTAGCTTGAAGGGGCCGGGACCCTACACCTGCAGCTACATCCTCGTCAGCAATTCTCGGACTCGAGACAGAACAGTGGTTTTCGGGATTGAACTTTGGACGCAGCTTTCACCCCGGGTAACTACCAGAATTGAGAATCTCACCTTCCACAGCGATGCCCTCCAGGCTCACCACATGCTACATTGCATCTCAGGCACCATGACGAATGGAGACCTTCCCTCTCCATGAATCATCTGATTCCTTCGTCAGAAGAATCTTCACAATTTCTCTGTCAGGGTGTCGATGAGAACGAGCGAGGTCCAGCGCATTCTTTCTATTTTGCTCGCTCACACCCCGTGAAAGCAGGGCACTCAAAATATCTCGGTACCGTTCCCGATGTAGGCGCAATCTTTCCTTGTCTACGTTGTCATTATTCCAGAGGTACATGTATCTGTAACTCAGGTCTGTGATATTGGATAAGCGAAGACATCCCTGCACAACCTTTGTCACCGCCGTCTCTCCTCTTTCATCAATTGCATTGACATCGGCGCCAAATTGCAAGAGAAGCTCGGTCACCCCGTAACCAACCCATTTATCTCCAACAGCTTCCATCAGAGCTGTGCATCCCCAACGATCAGCCATGTTGACAAAGGCTCCAGACCGCAATAGAAGATGGATGATCTTTTTGTCATAACAGCTTCTGGTGGTGTCCATTAAAACTGTCCTCCCGTTCATATCAGTAAGATTAACATTGGCACCTGACTGAATCAGAAATTCAGTTTCTGCGTATCGGTGAAAGCCTACGGCGGCTAGTCTCAATGCCGTGATTCCATGACTGTCAACGGCATCGACATCAGCTCCGGACTGTAGTAGAAGTTCAACCATTCTTATCGTGGTCACAGGCTGGACAGTACGGGAGTTTTTAAGGGTAAAGTATAGTGGTGTTAACCCCCCGCTATTTGCCACGTCAACGGATGCTCCTTGCCGCAGAAGATATTCCCCAATATAGAAATTATTCGCAAACAGCGCTGACATTAATGGAGTGTTTCCAGAAGCATCACGAGCTTCAATGTCTGCCCCAGCCTTCAAAAGGAGCTCAACACAACCGCAACATGCTTCGAACGGAAAGTCTTTCCACTCAGAATTCGCCACAGCGTGGTGAAGGCACGAAAGTTGACTCTTGTCCTTTACATTTGGGTCCGCACCTCTCTCCAGTAGGAGCTTCACTATCTCACACAGAGCACGATCCGCTGCGTCCATTAGTGCAGTGCAGCCGTCGTTTCTGCTCTCATTTACATCTGCTCCAGCATCTAGCAGACATCTCGGCATTTCCAAATCATAAAGCTTAATACATAGCTGAAGTACTGTAGAACCGTCTGTTGGATCCTTGGTGTCGATGTTTCCGCCGCATAACTTCCAAGCTGCTGCAAACTCCAAACATTGCACCGCAACCACAAGGTAAATACCAGGTACCCGCTCCTGGTAAGCGTATCGAAAGAGTATCAAATTGCAATCACCTTTTTGCCACATCGCCTGCATGGCGGCCGCAACCGTGCGTTCGTTTCCAAGAAACTTCAGCGCAACATCTTTAACCTCTTCCACCCCGAGCCTTGAGCGATTGACATGGCATCCCCAATTATTTGCTGCATACGAGAATAAAGGGTACTGGCGTAATAATAGAGGTAAAGAATCGTTTTCCTGATAAACCGTTTGTTCAAACGCATCGAAGGACAAATAGGTCAAGCAAGTCTCGGCTATGACCCTGTCTGCATCTCTGAACCATTTATAGTGCTTCTTCTCGAAGAATTCCTGGACGGAGAAATGAACGAGTCGAAAAGTCTTGCTCTCAGCATCGATAGTCACCAGGCCAGCACAGACCGACAGGATTAAAGTAACTGACTCTAATGGTCCATCTTCAACGTCTTCATCGCCAAACTCGACGGCTACGGCGTGCTGTAACTCCTCGACTTGAAGAGGTCGCTCCGCTTTGGAGATCCACGACAGAGCGCGCATAGCGAGTTGGCGGTGTTCTTCGTGCTGGTGTTGGATTCGGTACATGGTGTCCTCGTATGTGTCGTCTAACTTGGAAGGGAGATCATTCAGGGCTTTCCGGACCCTGCCGATCCTCGTTTGATTGCCTAGACGGTCTAGATGCAGGTGTGGCAGCAGGAACCTGTAAGAGGCATTTCGCCCCAGTTAGCGCGGACCGATGGACAAGAGAGGTAGGTAGTGATTTCCTCACATTCCCTGAGCCTTCTCAACCACCTTTTCTATAATCTCCTTGGCAAGAGCAGGATCCCCTCGGACCTGGGCAGCAAAGGTAAAATTCTTGTCATCATGGATCCGTGACTCCACGAATGACCTGATGTCTCCATCGTTTGCTCGAATATCCAGTCTGGTTCGGTCTTGAAACTGCTCTTGGACCGAATGAATCTCACGAGAAGTGATAAAGAAGGAACAACGTCCTAGCTTCTGTTGCTGGATGTTGTTTAGTTCACACAAAAGGGGAATGTGTGGGCTGTATTTGTCCTCTTCGGACGGTAGATGCTCATCCACTGCGTCGAGGACGATAAACGTTCTACGATAATGGTCTATGGAGGACTTCAGCAGATTCAAGCATTGTTCGGAGGATGGGCTTGTGTCTACTTCCTGGCAACTGGAGTACAGAACTTTGGCTTCGAAGGGTAAGTCACTTCGCTGCAGTATGGACTGCTTTGCAAGACTGGCGAACAGGTTTCGATCCGTCTGGTTGGTTTGATCTTTATAATCACAGTATACGTATAGTACTGCCACGTTGTCTTGGGCAAATAGTTGCTGCAGATGATCTACGACATTTGCGCTGGATGAAATGTCAGCTATATGCTGCGACATCGGTGCAACACTGATCCTACTTACGCTAACACAGTCTTTCCCGCTCCGGCTATATCGCATAGTCAGCTATCAAATTGGTCTCTTCTATCATAGACGAACAGACTTACGTATACCAGGACACCACAGAGTGGGCGGAGAATCTTGGTGTCCGTTCCTCCAAGCCATGAATTGATCCGAATCCAGAAGCCATTGGCCTGTTCCGGGATGGAGCTTCGAGAGAATATCGCGATGCTTCTCCTCAAAGTTGAGATGAGAAAGCCAGCGCAAAATCTTGCGGTTCTCCTCTGCTGCATGCCATTGCTGGTGCTCTTTCCTCACCTCTTTAACCTCGAGATGTGCGCTCGCTACTATAGTAGCTGTGTCGATTAGAATAAGCTGATTGAAACTCTGACACTGTCTTTGGAGCTGTGATATAGCGTTGCTTGTTTTAGAGGATAAGAAAGGTGCTTTGAATCGCTCCCAGCCGAGCCTGTGGCTCCTCTCTTTGCCCTTAAAATTGTCGATCACTTCTATCAATTGTGTGTGACAGGTCTGGAAGGCCTCCTTGATGCTGTCTTGGGAAAGGTCGTCGGCCTTCAAGTGCGACAACAGAGCCGATGAATTGCCGTCAAAGGCTTCTTCGAAAGACGGATTGGAAATCAGCTTTGTCTGTATTTCTGTAAGGGTCATTTGGAGGCTCTGTAGCTCGAGTCTGAACGCTTTGGCCTCCTTTGGAGCCTCTTTCCAGTCAAGTCCGAACTTAAGTACCATCTGAGATACCTGAATGGCTAGACCCAGGAGACCTACAATGCCGGCTGCGATGCTAAAAGGCTCTGCCATTTCGCTGGATCCTGAGTTTTGAGAGACACTGGGACTACGTGCAGTTCTTCAGATGAACTTGGTTAATGAGGGGGCGCCACCACAAGGAATCTGAGGATCGACAGACCAGCAAGGTGACACTTGGAAGACCAGTGCAGGATCAAGTGCTTGATGATATGTTAGAATCAGGCTGTGCACCGCTCAGGTGATGACGCTACTACATTAGCACGCAGTCTCCAGCCTTACTGTACTAAGTATGCTGACAATTGAAGTGTCAGTACACAGCTTCAAGTGTCACGTGGTGATAAGGCTTAGCGTTTGGTAGTTAGCTTCTGTTGCTTCGACGCAACTTCTCCTCCCATCCTTGATAAATAGAATAAATCAAATTGCTCCAATCCATTGCCTCAAGTGTCAGTACACAACTTCAAGTGTTATTATCGTCAAGATCTTAAAAGAGTTGTACTTCTTTAGACATGAGAGAGATTACTCTGACACAGTTGAGATGCTCAAAGCCTTAGGAAAGTCAGCTCAGCGGATTGCGGTTGCTGTGTTCTTATTCTGCCTCATTTGCATGTTGGAACAGCATAATAGGTAGAGAAGAGGGCTACTGAACAGGGAAAGTCTCCGCTAACGCTAGCTGAGATTTTATAATCATTGACAACTTGAGCCTCAGTGGTGAGCACCAGACAGCCATTACTTCTGAAGGCTTATATCACTCCATCGGAGACTTTTCGGCGGCACTGAGTACACGTTTACAACATAGATTATGAAACTCTTGTTAAAATGTCTTCTCAGTCACCCCTACTCGAAGGAAGAGCCCAACTCGCTGAACTTTTCTACTTTTCGCGCCCTATTTCCGAAATTTATCACCAAAGAGTTGGACCTCCGCTCCAACCCGCTCGCCGAAATAGCACGGGATGCAGCAGGCAATTTCACCTCAGCAAGTGAGGTAAGTATAGATAAGGAAGACACACCAAAGTCAAGCTTACAAGCTCGAGTAAAATTGATGAGTGCTTTTGAGACTGCCGCAGCAAGACTTAGTTATAAGGCAAGTCAGGGACTAGAGGATCTGAAGACAGCAGATTCCAAGAAGAAAAAAGGAAAAGAAGCAGCCACCAAACAAGCTCTGACATCCACAGGAGACGAGTTAGAAGGTCTTACTGCTGTACTACATGAGATGAGGATTGATTTTCCATCATGAAAAGAATGGATAGAGATGACAAATGCGTTTATGGAAACTATTCATGCGACAGTTGAATACTATCGAGAAGGATGTCTTATTCATATCCTACAAGCGAGAGAATCAACCAGACATTTAGAAGAGACGCAGCAGAGAACATTAGAGGTTGCATGGGCAGTGCAAGATCAGATCTTCAGTTTCGGAAAACAGTTGATCTTTCCCTGGCACATTGAATACCTGTCAACAGACCTCTATCGATGCGAGTGTGCCAAATGTAAAGTGAACATTGAGCAGATTATCAATATCGGGTTTGAAGCCCGGTAGAAGGCTTACGTGGAGGAAGTGACCGCAAAAAAGGTTAGGAGATCAGAGGCACGGCAACGGAGGTTGGCTCTGACGATGAGGAAGAAATAATTGATCTTGACTATGTGGATCCTCAATGGGAGTACTACGGCGAAGACCCCACACCCAAATTTCGCGGCCAAGTTAGCTGCCTGGCAGAGGCGGAGGAGACAGGCCAGGGTTTCCACAAGTGGGTTCGTGCCCTCCATCTAGCCAGAGAATTAGTGGAGGACGGCATCGACCTCTATGTTCTTGCGGAAATTGCGGACTCGCAACGCATGATGGGGAATAAGGAAGCCTACGCCGACATGCACTCGACAGCAGCCAACAAACTCGGTGTGGATGGGAAGCGGCGACGATCCGATAGTAGCGAAGGCCCAGAACCTATACGTCCACAGAGAATTGACATAGAGAGTATCCTCTACTTACCACCCGAGCCACGCTTTCCCGCATCTCCTTATATACACCAGCGCATATTCAGCGAGGGACCCAGTGCATGGCTCCAAAATGATGACACCGGCACTGTTCATTTGCCGGATGGCGAGTCGGTTGTTCACGATTGGGTTCCAAACCCTGACCCTGACCCTTGACCAATATTTCTTAGGAGGCTATGGCCAGGCAAACCCTTTTACGGTGATTTTCACATTCCCAAAATTCCGTGGACGGAGGATGATGTCAACGGATGGTTGGAAGTTCGGGATGATGTATCCATGGACGAGCCGATCGTGGAAACTACTGTGACCAACGGAGCTGATTATATGCAAGGCTCCACGACACACAAAGCAAGGTTCCCATTCACGAATGGTCCGGAATATTGCATTGAAGCGTCAAACGACTTTCCATCCCATGCTTACATCGATGAGGAAGAGGCCAATGTGGATCCAACGGACGGTGAATACGTCCCGAGGGAGTGGAAACCTGAATAGAAGGACAACAGATTCTACTCTATGAAATCGGCGAATGGCAGAAGCTCACGGGCCAAAAATAATGATAAGATCGGCCTTGCCCTAGGAATTCAATCATATAGACTAGTTAATACTCTTTACGTAATATGCACATCCTGTTGAATTGCTGCCAAGCCGCTAGCCCAGTAGTCGTCACATGACCTAGAGCTATGCCGGAACAGACATAGCGCCACTAGCCACCAGAGTACAGTAAGATTGCACTTGAACTTCGGACAGGAGCTGGATATAACTTCCGTACAAGTTACTACATCAACCAATTGATTGAGTGCGGACATCCATAGATAGCAGAAGCAGTTTAGCGTTACTTTCAACACATCCGTCAATGCCGCATTGAATTTCTAGCTCGGAGCTAACAATACTTGTGCCTCCTACCATAGTATAGCGCACCTTGAGCCCACGGTTTGAACCATGGGGTCTGGGGTTTGTGCCAAAAACCCGCTCCAGGGCAACCGCTGAAGCCGAGCTACTGACTTCTTCAAACAATCCTTGAACTCATTTCCGTGAGCACTGTGTGGCAAAGGCCAAATGTGCCCTCCACATCCAACGATCAACGCTTGAAGAGAACGTGGATCAGGATGATCTTATTGTGGAAACCTGGGGCATGGTCGCCATTCGATGAGGTTAATCAGGGCAATTAGCCATTTCAATCGAGGTGTCACTATTTATAGACCTCGGCCAAAATCTCGCATGACTGGCACGGTCTCGTGTAGATCGGCAGTACGAGTATGCACAGCTCTTATATTAACCGTCTAAGTTCCTTGCTGCTGGGAGCTTTGACAGATACTACTATCACAAACTCGTTCAGCTTCTGCAAAGTACATTGAGCCCTCAAAGTCTCAACATCATACTCACGTTTCTACGATGCCGTTCACTGCTACATCCGTCCTTCTTTCTATTGCAGCATTGCTATTCTATTGTCTCCATGTTGATGCCGCGCCTGGCTACTGCAACGGCGAATCACTCAAGAGGGGCTGCCAAAGGATCGGCCTCGACGGGTTTTTCCAGTACACCTTCGCTGCAAGAGTTCCGGTCGGTCGCATTCCAAGGTAAAACAAGATCGCACTCACCTCGCTAGGTCTATGCATCCGGGAGCACATTCGCAGAAGACTGCATGATGAACAACGGGGCCGAAGGGAAAGGCGTGAAGGCTCTCCAGTATTCCCTGAACAACTGCTATACCAGCAAGCCGCAGGATAAGTTGGAAGAAGACGGCAAATACGGATCGCTCACCAAAGCGGCGGTCAAGGCTGCGCAGAAGAGGATCGGTGCTGATCAAGATGGAATTTATGGGCCTGAAACGAAGTCGAAGATGTCCTGGTACGGGAAAGGGCTGAGTTATCCAGAGAATCGCTGTTTCCTTTATAAATACACGTTAGGCGGGTGCCTAAGGTAAATAGCTGTTGCTTACTTACTGCGTATATATCACTGAGGTATTGCTCTTGGCTGTGGCGTTGTCCTTGCGGCCGTTTGGACCTGTCTATTGTCTGTTTGTATCAGCATAGGCTCGCCTTGCTATATACATCGGTTGCGTACAAAGTAACCGGCGTGGCTACCGTCGAATATCTCTTACGGCATGGAACCTGAAATCCTTGATGTTGCTGATTGCCTATTTGGAGCGCTCTCCACCCAGCTCTCTTCAGCACGCACTAGGCCGCACACGTGTATATCCTCTTCTCTGATCTCTCCTTTGTAGGTCACGAATCTTACCAACATCATAGAATAGCAGTAGTTACAACTGATCGTCTGCGTGTATCAGAATAGCCTAAATTAAATATTTTTCAGGTCACAAGTGAGGGATAGTGATATTGTGAAATGACTAGAGTCTTGATGAATCATTAGCTCCGAAGGTCCTTGTAATAATGCCAAGAGTCGTTTGTTCCAACTTGGACTAAGTACCAGTATTTACTACTGTGTAATATGACCTGCAACTCAGGCGAAAGCAGAAGGAAAGAGACCTGAAATTTCCCAAGAAAAAACTTGATGCTTCTCTTTGATTATGCGTGTCATCCTTAGTGCAGGCTATGTGATCGTTAGCGAAAGGGTAGCTGGGGGGGAGAGTTTGACATACGGCCATGCTAATCTTCTCTGTATCGTTTCAAATTGACCAAATGCCCAAAGGCACCTCCATTGTTCAGTAAATAAAAGATATTGATTTCGAGCACAATAGCTAAGCAAACTTTGCCCACAATCAGCGTCAAACCTGGGTAGTGTTTCGTGAATAATTACTAGTATGTATTAAAGCATGTATGATCTCCATGCTATGGAAAACAATCATGGATCGAGGACCAATAATCGCATGTTATTTCTGCCTTTCTTGGTTGCTTGATAAACCACACGAAATTTGCTGCGCTTTGACAGCATTGCGTATCAGCATTTTTGATCTACAGGCGACTTTGAGTAGTTACAGTAGCATCCCTGCTTCTGCCGCATCGCTGCATCACTGCACATCACGCGTATTTGCTGTGGTTGCTCGAAAAGCGTCAAAACAGCAGCTGTGGAACACGTGAAGCCAAGTTTAGAGCTAGTCCGTAAAAGACGACTCTCTCGCTTAATACTTATATATCGTATACGAAAAAGGCTGCAGCTGTGTCAGGGGTAGAAAAGCAGAGTTTCAGGTTGATTTTGATGATTGTTGTGGAAACAGCCTGTGCTGTTGGGTCGTTTCCGAGCAGCAGGTCGCAAAAGCAGTAAGGTCAACTCATGTGATCGATAGAGCGGTGGATTGGATTGTCTTGGCGGACTGTTCAGAGGGTGCAAAGAATCATTACACACAGTTGCGTTCATAACCTGGTCACACACGCTTTCACGTGTAGCCTCCAATCTTGCTATCGCGGTTATTATATCTTTCGCAGTGATTATACCTTCTCTGCCTAGTTTCCGTATCCACCATGGCCTCCGACGTAGCCAGCAAACGCCTCTGGCACGAATACCGCCTTCTCTATAGCACCCCACCGGAGGGTATACTCGCTTACCCGATCGACGAAGCCAAACCCTTCGTCTGGGAGGCCTTTATCGATGGACCTAAAGACACCCCTTTCGAAGGCGGAGTATTCCCGGCTATACTCGACTTCCCCAAGGACTACCCGCTCAGTCCGCCTAAGATGAAGTTTTTAGGAGACATCTTCCATCCTAACGGTACGTACACTTTCCTATCGTCTAGCGGAGCGATCCAATCCTGTTCAATCCTTCTTCAACCCGAACCTCCCAGAAATTCTGGGCTGATGCATATCCCCCGACAGTATACCCGAACGGCGAAGTGTGTATCTCGATCCTCCACCCACCGGGCGATGACCCCAACCACTACGAGAGCGCATCCGAGCGATGGAGCCCCATACAGAGTATCGAGAAGATACTGATCTCGGTGATGAGCATGTTGGCGGAGCCAAATGATGAGAGTCCAGCCAATGTGGAGGCGGCTAAGATGTGGAGAGACGACAGGGCGCAATTTGAGGAGAAAGTCAAGGACGGGATCTGGAAGAGTCTTGGATTGGAGGTTAAGAAATGAAGGAGAAAGCGTTTGCGCCTGGCTACGGACTTGCATATGGGGGAGGGATGGGCTTAGCGAGGCGTTAGGGTTAGACAGGGACTATCTGTTTGCAATACCAGAAAGCACAGCAAGTCATGATTCCTCTTGATGGGAGATGTGCTGGATTAAGGGTGTTGAATGTCCAAGCTGGCCTGCTCAAAATCTTACAGGTGGATGCTCTTCCTCAACTGCGTCTTAATCCTCCCATTCAGCCACCCTTCAAGACCACCAGGTCTATCCTCCAATAATTGGATTTCAGCCTTAACGTTCAGCACTAGGATTCTCTGCAGCTCGATCCTGCATTGCTGATCCACAACAGCTTCGGATTCCCGATTCAATTTCCCAAGCATTGCCACTGCTTTCCTCCTGTCCCTTGACGTCAATTTGAGCACGGACTCGTCATTCTGAACTTCTGCAAGAACGTCTGCTGCCCGTACTCCAAGCCATTGCATTTCAGGCACGTTCAGTTCGGTCTCATGTGGCAGCGACTGCGAGCCTTGACAGTATATCTGCATGATATTGATGCCGTCAGGATCGGCATCGAAGAGGCCGAATATGGGAGGTTGAGGTCGATGAAGCCAGGTCCGGTGGTCGCAGATGGTGCGCAGAAAGCGGCGAGTGGCTAAGTCGGGATAGCCTTTTGCCTGGAGCGAATTTGAGCTGGAGGAACCCAGAGATGACATCGAAAGGGCTTACCGTTATCATGAGGCCAGGGCCGTTGATGCTGTTCCATTGGAACCGTTTCTCGACCAATGACCGGAATGTTGCCTATAACCGTTCAAGCTTCGTGGAGAGACCGCAGTTAGGATGTCTGCGCACTTCTTTCTCAATCACCAGGATCCAGTTAAGGTGAGCAAGACTGTGTTCTTGCGAGTGGTGGATCGAATCAGGGACAGCCTCGAAGGACTACCATGTTCAGCCAAAGCCATGGCACTATCGGACAAATGTGCTGACTGCATTTGGTGTACTGCCGGCTAGGCAAAACGGAAGCAGGCCCGCATGCAGCCCTTTTGCACTTGCAGTCTATAATTACCTCAGTACCTGCTCAATCAATTAGTCGGGGCTTTTCTCACCACATTGAGCTTCCTCCTTGTGACATTGCAGGTATATGCAATATCATCCACGTATCGGTCGACAAGGGCTTGTTTGCCATACAGCTCGGGATCTCGGTAGTATATGTCCCTCGAATGATGTCAATTGAGGACGAAGTGTTTGGCCAGAGGAGAAGTCACCTCTTGGTCACTGTTACACCACTATGCAGGGCTTCGTGTAACTCTGCTAGGATCTTGCCGACGCATGCTGTGCTTTGGTATTAGAGGCAGCCTCCGTCGTAGTGGTAGGATTTCCATGTCTCAATACCAAATCGCCATGCCTCGTCCCTGTTCTTGCCGGGCCATGAGTAGGTGACTTCTCGTTCTGTGTCCCGGTGGCATTGGTGCGGATTGTCTCCAACAATACGCTTGAGTGTGATCTTCGGCCTTCCACATGGGCGCTTTTCAATTTCGGAGAGGATGGTGAGGAAGGTGGTCTCGATGTAGTCTAACGGCTGCCCTCGTGAAGACATATTATATCAATTCAAGCATGGTCGCATGGTCCAGGGTTGTAACCAATCCGAATGATTTGTGCCATTTTCCAGTTGGGTGGCTGTCTCGCATATCCCTTGGCGGACCGCCAGTCAATGCAGGAACCCGCCCGTGGCGCCACATCACCCCGCATTCTTTCCGCTCCCGAGAGCCGAAGTTTCGCCGGATTGGCAGAATTTGTTTGGAATAATAACGATTACTATCATACTCTCTCCCCACACGCGCGCACACCAGTCGCCTAGCCTGCGATGGTGCAGACACGGAAAGGAGCGCAGCAAGTCCCCATAGCTAATGGCTGTGCTGGGAAACAGAATGGCCAGGTGATCAGGCCAGAGAAAACTGATTACTCAAGATGGAGACTCCTGGACGAGTCGGGACGGCAAACATGGCACTATCTGACAGACAACGACGAGGTCCAGAAGTGGCCGCAGAGTATAGCTGACAAGTATCACCTTGGTCTTCCAACCGTAAGGCTTCCCTTCAGGTAAAGTCTTATTGGACCGGCAATAATCTTCGCAGGGTCTACCAGAACTGCCACCGGCCACCACACCCTCGCAGTCGATAGACAACTGTCTCTCCTTTTTCTCCCATCTACAACTGCCACCAGGCAACTGGGCGTGTGAATATGGTGGACCTCTCTTCCTTCTTCCAGGCCACGTTATCACCTTGTACGTCACAGACACACCTATCCCACCGGCATATGCCACCGAGATCAAAGCATACCTGTTTGCACGACAGAACAAGCAAGATGGTGGATGGGGCTTGCACGTGGAAGGAGAGAGCTCTGTCTTCGGTACAGCACTGAATTACACTATTTTGAGAATCCTTGGAGCAAGTGAAGAGGACGAGAGGATGATAAAAGCCAGGGGTAAGCTCCACCAGCTAGGAGGTGCTGTGTACGGACCGCATTGGGCAAAGTTCTGGCTGAGTGTGTTGGGTGTGATGGAATGGGAAGCGGTAAATCCTGTTCCACCAGAAGTGTGGCTTCTGCCAGATTGGATGCCAGTTGCACCTTGGCGATGGTGGATTCACATGCGACAAGTCTTTCTACCAATGTCATACATCTACTCGAAACGATTTGTTGCACAGCCAACACCACTGACTCGGCAGCTTCGACAAGAGCTATATACTCAACCATATGAAAGTCTGGATTTTGGATCACACCGCAACTCAATTTCAGATAAGGATAATTATCATCCCAAGACCTGGCTGCTGAATGTGATCAATTGGCTCCTGGTCTGGATCTGGTTTCCTTATCTCCGCTACGAATCGCTGGTTCGACGTGCGGAAGGCTGGGTATGGGACCTGGTGCAGATGGAGGATGAGAACACCGACTATGCTGGCCTAGCCCCCGTCAACGCCCCCATGAACACCCTCTGCTGTTTCATCCACGACGGACCAAACAGCGACTCCGTCAACCGTCACATCGACCGGCTAAACGACTACATGTGGATGAACAAAGAGGGCATGCTGATGAACGGCACAAACGGTTGTCAAGTTTGGGACACCGCCTTCCTAATTCAAGCTGTAATCGAAGCCGGCCTAGCATCCTCTCTCAAATGGAAACCCATGGTCCAGAGAGCCGCAGCATTCCTCGAAGACCACCAAATCCGCGAAGAAGTGCCCAACCAAGAAATCTGCTACCGCCAATCCCGCAAGGGTGCCTGGCCATTCAGCACCAAGGTTCAAGGCTACACTCTTAGCGACTGCACAGCCGAAGCCCTCAAAGTGACACTCCTCCTCCAAAATACCCACAACTACCCTGAAATCATATCCGAAGAACGCATCCGCGACGCCATCGATGTCCTCCTCACAATGCGGAACCCCCGCTCCGGCGGCTTCGCTTCCTACGAGCCCCAGCGCGGCTCCGAACTACTGGAATGGCTCAATGCAGCCGAAGTCTTTGGCCGCATCATGGTGGAATATGACTATCCTGAGTGCACCACCGCGGTAGTGACTGTGCTATCCCTCTTCCAAAGATTTTCAGACTACCGCAAAGAAGAAATCGACCGGATCAAAGAATCGGCATTGAAATACATCCGCCGCGCGATGCGACAGGACGGATCCTGGTATGGGAGCTGGGGAATCTGCTTCACGTACGCGGGCATGTTCGCGTTGGAGTCGCTCGCCAGCGTTGGCGAGAACTATGAAAATAGCGCTCAAGTGGGGAAAGCGTGCGAGTTCCTCCTCTCGAAACAAATGGACGACGGTGGCTGGGGCGAGGACTATCGCAGTTGCGAACGCAAAGAATATGTCCACCACAGGGCAGGCAGTCAGGTGGTGCAGACTGCTTGGGCGGTCATCGCGTTAATGGAGGCTGGATATCCGGGCAAGGAGAAGATCAAAAAAGCCTTGGCCATGGTGGTTGGGAGGCAGCAACGGAATGGCGAGTGGTTGCAAGAGGGGATCGAGGGGGTTTTCAATCAGAGTTGGTGAGTTACGCGGATGACTGAATGTCCTTTTTGATCGTTCAAGGGGGGAGTAATGTACTGTGGTGAGGAGTTTTGCTGACCGAGTCGATCGTGGATACTAGTATGATCACCTACCCGAACTATAAATTCTACTTCCCCGTCAAGGCGTTGGGCATGTATATGAAGAGGTATGGGGATGAGGCGCTTTTTGGTGAGAAAAACGGACGGACGAACGGATGGTTGCCGTCCGGATACTCACCTAATAGGTGTGTCTGATACATGGGGCACCGTAGGGAGATCAGGGGATTGGTAGAGCAGGAAGGAGGAGGGGGGGTGGTCGCAGGACCAGTCAATGGGAGTGAAACCGTCAAAATTGCGGTGGTTGGTAAGTTAGTGAAAATGTTGATAGTAATAACCCATTGTCCACCACTATCGTAGCAAGAGCCTGAACTATACTGCGAGGGCGAGAAGGGGATGGAAGGATTTGAAGGAAAAGGCCAATAATACGAAAGAGCGGTGTTTAGTCACTAACTAGTTAAGTAGCAGAGTTGGTGACTAACTGTCGTTACTAGTAGTCAAATCATTTTCCCACCCCCTCCATGTACCCTGTAAGCGTCCAGTCAACTGGTACTCTAGTTAAGTATTATCAAGTGTTGACCCGGGCCATTTATCCATTCTGGAAGCATCAATCAAATTCCAGTCTCGCAATAGCCTAACAAATTACGGAAGTAATCAACCAACCAATTCAATCAATCAATCGATAACTTAGGAACCCCAAATCGAATTTAACTAGTTAAATGGGACTCACCTCAACCCTGAAGGAATGAAACATGAACATGAACATGAACATGTACGGAGTACCAACTTTGTGGATTACAGAGTAAGTAATTATGTTACAACATCCCTCCTCCCTCCTCCCTCTTCTCTCTTCCCCGCTGCTTTCCCCCGTACATTCATTCATTAACCTAGACCGTCTATCTATCTACCTGTTTATCAAGGAGTAAGTAGTGCACGATACGAAGCGACCTATCATCAACCCAGCCGTTAGTAGTACTCACTCGTACTAAACCCGGACCAGTCACCCAAATTCCACCTCTCCTGGCCCAATCACGATGATGCATCCCCTGATCATAAAAAATAGCAGTAAATTCATTCCTCATAAGTCCGTCATTGGTAGTAACTAGTCAACGTAAATCAGGCATTTAAATTATGTACAGATGCCCTATCGTCAGGCGTCCAACCAACCCACCCACCACTAAGTCAGCAGCTTATGCAATGCCGCCCTCTCCCGTGTCTGGGGCATCTGCCTCGCAAGCCTGGATGCCAGAGTCAGGTAGAACTGGAAAGCAATTCCTCCTCTCCCTCTGATACAAGACAACCCAAGCTAGCTAGTAGCAATACAAACTCTCATTATCGCCCTCCTCCCTCCATTTCCTGCCCTCAACCTTCACTCTCTCAGCCTCCTTCTCAACCTCCTTTTCTAAACTCGTCTTCTCCTTCTCCCTGTGCTCTTCTCCCTCTCCTTCTTTCACCACAGCCAGCCCGGGAGCCGGCTCCTCATTATCTATCTCTTTGCTGGGGATCCCACTCCATCTAAATCGGCTCTGTCTCTTCCTCTCCTTTCCATCTATTTCCGCCTTGCCCTTGTTGTGGGAGGAGACGGAGAGAAAACGAGTGAGTCCGCTTTTTCGCTTTTCGGTTTTGGATCTTGCGAGAGTGGTTGATTCTACGGGGGCGGTGGAGACGCGGTTGGTCGTCAGTCTTTCGGGAATGGAGGTAGACGAAGAGTCAGTAGTAGCTGTGATGGTGCTGGTATTGGCATCAGAGACACCTGTCGGTTTTGGTTGCGGGTTGAGAGGTGTTATTGGGGTGTCGTCTTCGAAGGAGGGACGGCGTATACCGGGACTTGGAAGTGGGGAGGTGGTTTTTAAATGGAGGGTTGGTTTGGTGTCTGTTGATGGTGGTGGTGATGGGGGCAATGCTTCGATTATTTTCAGGTCGGTGATATCGTTTGGGGGTTGAGGTGCGACTTGTGGGGGAAAAAGTGGTTCTGCTTCTGCTAAGGATTGTGGCGTATCATCTGTCTTGATTTCGGTGTTTACTTTCTCCGCAGAAAGTTGGGCTGCTAAGACAGATTTTGCTTCTGTCTCTACTGGCGTGCGTGGTGGGGTTGTGGCTTCTGTAGAGACCTGCTTCAGCGATGATCCTGCACTATCGGCTTTTCCGCGCGACGAGGCGGAAGATGCAGAGCGGATAAGCTGAGAAATAGGTACGTCTGTTGGAGAGGTTCTGGCGTCGGATATTTTGGAGCTTGCGGGTGCTTGTACTTCTTGCGTTTTCTCGGTCAACAACGGATCTTTGATCGAAGAACCCTCAATTGCTGCTGAAGGTGGAAGATTAACACTGGGATCCAAGAGAGGACTCGGCGCTCTGATTGATGTAGAGACGGCCTCTTCAGTTGGTGAGACATCTTGGGGAGTGGCACTCTTTGCGTCCTCCTTCCCAATGGCTTCGTGCTCGGTGGACACCTTTCGTACTGATGAGACATTCTTTTCATCAGTGACGTTGGCCAAAACCTGGCGAGCTGGTTTAGGTGATTCTGGGCTTGAGTTCTTCTGCTCTCCGAAGCAGCCAAAGCACGAGAAAGCTCCCATATTCACAAGAAGGATTGGTTTGACTAATGAAACAGCGCTTCACGAAATGGTAGGACGGGAGAAGAGAAAGACGCAAGGGATGGGACGAGGAAGATTGGAATGCGCTTTCAAATCAGCCTTTCAGAGTATCTCAACAACGAAGCAGGATGAAACCAGAAGAAAGGGCAGACGCGAACAAAGACGAACTCTTCTCTGTCCGGACATATTTACACCAGTGGCTAGTATGGTCCGGCCACAACACTGGTCACTTGACACCTCCATCCCGTCCGATTGCGGCAACTTACATCAAATATCGAGCTCAGCCCAGACCGGGTGGACTCTTTGGTCCAACTTGGCCAATATCGATTGACCAATGGCCATTGTTTGAGAGACCAAGGGCGCGAGACGGAAAGCATGCCATCCCCAGACCCTCTTCGAAGTCAACATGCCGAAGCTATCGGGCTAGCAAAATCTAAGCATGACAATTATGGAGAAAATGAGCTTGCCGGGTAGCAGCGCATTAAGTTGCACGAAGTAGTTTGTGTCAGGCCTATTAAGGCGTCAACACGCAAGCTTGTTGGCGGAAATGATGCAGACTGACCGTTGACCTTCTGCCTTGCCGATTTGCCGGAGTAGGAAATTGGTCTACTACGTAGTAGTAGGCCTCTCGAGGAAAGTCTAACCAGCGCCCAGTGAAACAAGGGGAAGCTCAGGCCCTGTCGAGACACACCGTTGCTCCACAAAATTGCGAACATAACCCCAGGATCTTACTGGGGAAGTGCAGGGAATATTAGTGACCGAGCTAGCGATTGAGTGACAAAAAGAAAGGTTCCCGATCTTGACCAAATACGGAGTATAAGCAATACCATTGTCGGTTCGCCAAGCGACAATGGTACAGTGGAGATCCACACGGTGATGCCTCGGTGTGGGGCCTGAGCGCGAGGGGCAGCATTGTACCCCCATATCCGAATGTTATATCCTACGTACATACTTACTACCTGGCCAGACTCAACATCCTGCAAATGCCACATCGGCGCCGAGCCGGCGTTGTGCGAGTCATTCGACGCAGGGGCGTGGGTCACCCGCTTCGATCTGAATCGTGATTGGAGGAGCCTTGCATCATTACGGGTACCGATGCAGGCACATGCACATAATGTCTGTCGAGGTCTGCACATCGAGGTTCGAAAGCTTGTTCGATCGGGAAGCAAACGTAGATTCTTCAAGAAAGCTTGCGGATTTCTCTGCGAGAGGAAGAGACCTGACAGTATGTGGGCTCATGAGGAATTCTGGTTCCTGGTATCTTTGGCAAGCTATATAGACGTGGATAAGCTAGAACGCCTACGGTTCGAAGGGTGGACTAGGAAGAGGCGCAGCATCACTGGACGGGTTCGCCAATGGTACTTCTGCAGGTAAGCGTCATAGTCTCTTTCTGCTGTAGATGTCGCTGTTCTCGAGAAAGAATGGTGTATTGTCAAAGCAAGGAGGTAGATAGGTATTTTACGGCGCAGTACGACGACCAGGGCGAACGGTCTTCGCGAGATTGGCCCCGAAGATTTTGTTCTGCTGTAGGTGTGCAGTGCTGCTGAAGCAGATGTGAGTGGAGACGTGGTGGGCTGAGAAAAGGGCGTAGAATGTGTCAATCCAGGCGAGCATGATATGGGGAGACTTTTCAAATGTCGAGCATGGAAGACGATGAAATCTTGCCAAGCCAGATCTGACGACTGAGAAACCGGGAGGAGCAGAAAGTCAGTAGGGAGGAGAAAAAGGTTATACCTAAACTGATTGATTCCCAATGTCGCATTGTCTATCCCAAACTAAAACTCCAGCAACCCAAAGCCGCAAAACCCACAAACCAGCAGCGGCAAACCAAGAAACGACAGTCTTCTCTCTCACCACACATGGCGCCCACTAAGTTAATACCAACCCCCAAAACGAAAGCACCACCCAAAATGCAGCAACGAACGACCAACCAAGGACCGACCATCCGCCCTCCTCCGCCACATCCCCTCTACCCAGGCAGGCAGCCACCACTCGGGCGGGCGTGTTACCGCACCAGCCCAGAGTAGCAGCGCCACAATCCCCGGTAAAGAGAGAAAAGACAGAGGAGCGACTGCGCTTTGTACAAGAAAGCGAATGGGGTATCTCAAAAAAGACAAGAACGGACGACCCAGGACGCCCACCAACTACTACTTAGTAAGACAAACCCAACACACAAAAACAAACCGAAAACAGAGGCAAGAACGACCGACTTTTCCAAATCCAAAACATTTCCAAGAGCCCACCACAACGCCATAACAAATCACAATTTAGATTTTTTTGGAAAATTTTCTAAGCACGCTTGGTGCCTTTTCTGGTATACTTATACGTATACTTTTGTCTCCCCTTCTCATCCCTCTCCCCGGGATGCTCCAACTGCCCCCACAGTTCCATGCAGGCGGCCCCCCGCCTCTCCACTTCCTGCAGCAAGAGTTCTACTCTTGCTTGCCACTCCTCTTCCCTTTTCTCCTGTTTCTCCTCCATCTCTGCTTGACGTTTCTGGAGCGACGCGACGGTGCCCTCCAATTCCTTCTTCTCGGCAGCAAGGTTGTCAGATATGTAGTGCTGGGTATTGAGGGCATTGGCGTGTTCGCTTAAGGCGTCCTTCAGAAGTTCACAGTCCGTCTCAGATTGTGGTTTATGGACTACCTCAACAGTCTCGATGAGTAGTAGGTCTTTGTCGGCAATCTCTGACCGGAGGTCGGCAATCTGGCCCAATTGGTTCTCATTGTTGTGATGTAGGCGGTTGATGACTTGGTCTTTGGGTTGGACAGTGTTGATGATGACGTCCTTTGCATGACCATCAGCGTCCTGCTTTCCGCCTTCTGGGCCAGAGTTTGTACTTACATTCAGATTCCCCTGAAGTTCATCAACCTCCATTTTCATCTGATGTAATTCAAACCCCAAACCCTGGCACTGTTGGTTGCATTGTTTCAGCGAGGTCTGTAGCTTGTCGATTGTTGTATACTTTTGCTCCAACTCACACTGCAGGTCGGCAGACTTGTTCTCCGCGACGGCAAGAGAGTCCTGGAGTCCAGTGATTGTCTTGTCCTTCTGTAGCAGCAGAGCCTGAAGCCGAGCAATTTCTGCGCGTAGTTCGTCTTCTTGTCCACTACTGGAAGCCTTGCCTATTGTCTCAGTGGAGTTGGTAGCGACAGCAATGGTTGCGGAAGAGGACGTCTTCGCGTGCGGAGAGTATGTCTTTGTGCCTTTCATGTAGTCAACGAGGTTTTCCGTGAAATCGGATGGACCTTCGATTACGAGACCATCTTTCTTCGCTACGTGAGCTGGTCTAGGAGCCGGTTTGCCAATAGCTGCTGTCTTCGTAGTAGGGCTGTGTTTGTCGGTCTTCTTGCTGTCGCTCTTGCGAGTCAAAGCTGGTTTTGTGCTTGTGCCATTGAGAGAGTCGACGAGATTCTCCGTGAAGTCAGTTGGGCCTTCGATATTGAAATCATCATGCTTCGATGAGGACATTGCTCTGGTAGGTGGCATGCTCAGAGGTGTAGTCTTCACAGCTGGAGTGGCCATTTTGGTTGTGGTTGTATTATCCTTCTGGTTGATGATCGACCTGGCAGCAGCGACAGGTTGCTGGCTTTTCTTTTGCGTAAAGTTGGAAAGATTGCGAGCAGACGTGGATGGATCTCTAACTCCAGAATTATCGTGCTTCGACGAAGACCTTGCTTTGGCCGACGGCATGTTGAGGGTTGGTATCTCCTCAACATAAGTAGCCTGTTTTGTCATATTTGTGTTGTTCTTGCTCACGGGCGAGGTAGGAACAGTTGCAGACTCTTTCGTCTTCTCATCAATGTAGTCGGCAAGTTTGGGAGCGAAATCAGCGCGGCCATCGACCTCGAAGTTCTCGACTCTGGCAGGAGAGGACATGGGTCGAATGGTGACTTTTGGCGACGATGTGGTATGAACAGATGCACATCTTGCGCTTGACTCGTTGATGAATGCTGCAAGACTGGCAGTAAAGTTGGATGGGCCATTGATTACAAGGTTTTGGTTCATCTTCGGAGCAGAGTTTGGGACGGTGTCAGCAAGCTGGCTCGATGGAGGGAAGTTCGGCTGGGAGGTGGGTTTGCTGCCATTGGAGCCTGCGTCCTCACGCATTGGTGGAGAAGCTTTGACTTTTCCCGCACCCACGATACCTGGTGAATTCTTTGGTGGTGGAGAATCTGCTTTATCACCCTTCATGTAACCAACGATGTTCGCCGTGAAGTCAGAAGGACCATCCAAATTAGGGTTTTCGCTTCTAGCAGGAGATGACACGGTTTTGTTGTCAATAGATTTCTTGTGTACCGGTGAAGAAGACATTGCTGCTCTGGTACCGACAAAGCCAGGCGAATCCCTCGCTGTTGGAGAGTATGGCTTGTTGCCTTTCATGTAATCAACGATATTCGCGGTGAAGTCAGACGGACCATCCAGATCACTGTTCTCGCTTTTTGCAGGAGATGATACGGCTCGTTTGTTGATCGTGTAGTCGGTGAAATCATCACTGAATTCAGATGGACTCCCAATGATAATGCCAGACTCCTCCTGCTTGAATTGACGTTTAGGTTTTGGTTTGACCTTCGGTTTGACAAGACGTGGCTTTTTGGCGGTTGTTTGTTTGTTGCTCTTCATGTACTCGAACACATTCTCGGTGAAGTCAGATGGACCATCAATAGAAGACATGGTGCTCTCAGCAGACCGAGGCTCAGCGAAGGTAGAGTTTCCAATGGTAGCGTGAGATGTCATGCTGGAAGTCATGTTGAATAGTGGAATCCCGATTATTCTTGTTGTTGTTTTAGCGCTTCGATGCAGGATTGTTGTGGTTGGTGTGATTGGTGAATGGAATGCTTGCAGTATTGAACACTCGGTATGAAATTGATCAATCCTTGTATCCCAGCTGAACCGAACGGTTTTTGATGTGCAATGTTGTATGGTGAAGAGCAAGAGAAGATGGAGGAAAAGATCGGAGATAATGTCATGCATCCCTAGCGCTGTTTACATAGACTGATCAGTCTTAGCGCGATCGGGAGGGATCCACATCAGCTCCAATATGATGGAGAGTGTCTTGGCATCTCGCATACAGTCAAGTACTAGTAGGTCCAGCTACAACATCTTCATACTTGCCGATGCCATGTATTGTCTGTTGTGAATTATTGATAAGCTGAGAAACCAAGGAAACATATATAAAGATAATGATGAGTCGACAGTGCAAGCCTCAGAGATCTTATTCAATGATTGAAGGATTACCAAAACCGATGTCCGACATTCAACCAGTACCCGGATCAGCCATCTGCTCCAGACTCCTTGCTGCGACACAAATCAGAACGATCCAAATATTGCTATTGCTTCCAGCACTCCAGCCATTTTTCTAATGCTTTGCTGAATAAGTGGAACCCGGTATCAGCTGGCGAAACCTTTCCACTTTCGACCTCCTTGACCGACTTCGCCATATCCGAGCCATGAACCTCATCCGAATAGATGACCCCAAAAACTTTACCTCCTTCTGGTGGAGCGTTGCATGCTGGCACATCTATCGTGCTCTCTCTGATACTTGCAGAGGGGTTGATCTCTTTGGTGGCCTGAACTCCCAACGTCCTCCATGGATCACGTTCTCCGTTCGTGAAAAGGGTGTTGGTGGGGGATATAGAGTAGCCTCCGTATTTCAAAATGGTATCCACATCCGGTAAGTCGGGCGCATATGAGAAAACATCTTTACAATCATGTTGAGCCCGGCCAGGAACGTCAAGGAATCTTGAGATAAGACTTGTTGAGTCAGAAGCATTCGCGACCAAGAAATATCCGAGCTCGCTACAGTACTGCCAGTTCCATGACATGTTATCCACTAGTAGCGAGAAGTCATCACTACCACGAGAGGTATTTTGACTCTGATCTGCAGTGGCAGAGAGAAAAGCATAAAACGCTTGTTCGTCTCCATAAGAGGCTGCAACACCACCAGTAGTGAGATCGCCGTCGGCCGAGTTCCTCAACCATTCTTTGCCCGTTGTATCGATGTCAACTTCGGTGGCAGTTTCTGGATTCCAGGACTCTAGAAAGTCACAGAAGTCGCCCAAAGACCCAGCATAATTGTAATATTGAAAGGAATACCCGTTAAGATAGAAAGGGTGCGACAAGTTTGCAGCCAAGGAATAATAGTCCAAGCTGTCAACATCGACTTGATTTATCTCCAAAATCGCCGGATCAGTGTGGATGTTGGACGCAAGGTAGATTGCCCGTTTTAGAGTTGACGCCTCTTCTGGCGTCCCATGAAGAAGGATATTGTCTGCATATGCAACGGCCGCGTGTACGTCTGCTGAGCAGTTGTTAGGCATACTTTGTTGAATCGGATTTGCGTAGACTGACATGTCGATCTGTGCCTGAACCGGAGCACTTGACGCCCATGTTGCGTAGAAGATTTCGGGATTTCGCACACGCATAATTGCTCCGCGCACCCCTGAATAGCTTGCTCCAACCCAGATCCATGGAGTATTTGATGGTGAGAGGGAAGTACTGTCTTCGTACCCGGGGGGGTTGAAATTGTTAGCGAAGTACACGGTGTCCTCCAGAGCCTGCTCAGTGTTGAGATATTTGTAGGCATCGTAGCCTTCCAGTGCCTTCCCTGTGTCCTTGTCGAGCGGAAATGGCAGACTTCCCCCATAGAATCGATGCTCCCAAACAACAGCCATGCCGTTAAATTTCTCTGCCAGTCGCAGAGGCGCACTGCGGGTTCCATGTTCGCCAAGAAACTGGATAACACGTAAATCGCTAACGGCTCCTTCGCCAACATCATAAAAGAAAACCGGGCCGCCTTCTTGGTAGAACGTATCGTTGATCCAATATCGATTCTTGTATGTTCGCGTATCGCTGTCATCGAAATGATCAATGGGCATATCGAATGTCAATGTTGGTGGAGGAGTGTAATTTTCAACTGAGCGGGATAGGATAGGCAGGGGGAGTGGAAGCTGTGAATAGAGACCCAGTACGCCAACAGCGACAGAAGACAGACATGTCAAGAAGAAGAATGAGAACAACATTATCATAACGCACAAGAGTGAAAGACAGCTGCTCAGGAAGGAGAGTCTTCTCTGTTTGACAATGCAGAGGACGAGAATGTTTTGGATAAACTAGCAGATGGGAATGTCATTTGAATAACATGGCGCTGCTTTGCCTATCTGACTGGTCAACGACTCACCCGAAGGAATGAGAACACAGCCATAGCAGCAAATAATACTTCGTACCAAGTACCAAATATCTTTTTGGGAGCTGAATTATCATGCCGTGCTAAACACAGTCTGACAGCGCAAGGTCTAGCGGCCTGCTGGCACCATAATTGTAGTGGACTGTATCAGCGTTCTGGTACTCCGTACTCCGTAATCCTGCGCAAATGCATGCGCCCTGGAACATGAAAGAGGTGAGTGTTTGTAGATGCTACAAATATCCACCATCAATCCAATCAGCTCTTGGCATGTTTTGTTTGGCATCTTGACTTTATGCCAAGGCGGTACTACTCGAGTGGCACGTTTCAAGTCGGCCGCATGACATGCGCCACTTCGATCCTTCCTGCATGCGCCTTGCAACACCAAACTTGAATTGTGTTGTGAAATCCTGCCAACATTATTAATGAGATCCTGCTCCCCAAACGTTGCGATTCCTTTGTGTCGGCTCGAATGTCGAACGTTCATCTGGAACTGCGAAGATCTGAAAGTGACTGAAACTGCTCGAGCTTTGAGTGAGCTTTGTCTTCCCATATTCTTCCTAGCGTAGCCCTGCACCACCGCCTTCTTTTGTGATGTTGGAAGACCGGCAGGAATAAGGCCTTCTACATTGCTTCTGTTGCTCAACGTACTTGAGATTGGTCGATTGCCAGCGGGAAATGTATGCTTGATGACAAGCGTACAAGACAAGAGCTGCAACCGTTTATTTTGACTCAATAATCGTCAAGGGTATTCATCATTTGCGACGTCATTGCTATCCAACAAAGTGCCCTGAAAATTAGAGCAAGCTTTGCACAACGTTTACGCAGTCCACCGCAGTCTCCTTGGGTCGTCCACAGCTTTAGCTGTCTAAGTATAGTACTACTCCATAGTCGACAGAATCTGGGTCACGGGCTCGTTAGTGAATTGAAAGATCTCGTAATAAAGGAAACGGGAGAAGTTGGAGCCGAAACCGAAAACTTGGAAAGTTATGCTGGAAAGTCAATCGGTGGAATCGAGATCTGGGCAATCAGGCCTAGATCGTCTTCGATCAATACCCTCCGCTCTCTCAAACCAGCGGTGTAAGCACGTTTCTTTGCGCTGTAGGCACTTCGCTTGAAAATCCTTCTTTTTCGATCCATCATGACGCCGTATAAGCTCTTTTCTTCTCCCTACCCCTCTCTCTTGCCCTACTCAAGCTCGTGATCTGTTTCTTGTCATCTGGTGGGACGGTACTCCAACCTCCCATGCCATATGCACTGGCTTCCTTACTCCTGGCTAGCTCCCATCGTCTCTTGACTCGTTGAGCCTCCAACATGTTATAAGTGGCACAATTTGTTGAAGGTGTGGATGATGTCGTTCTGCTGCTGTAGGCTAATGAAGGATAGTGGCTAAGTTGAGGCGGCTGGGCAGCGTTGCCATCACCTGGATTGGATGCCAGTGAGGGCCTTAGTCTGGGGATGTGGAGTGATGACGTTGATGAAGACGGCGCGGTCGAGATGCGAGGACGGGTAGAGTAGGTGACAGTTGGAGTTATTGGGTTATTCGCACATGCAGAATCTGCACAAGTTGAAGTTGAAGGTATTGAATGGCCTCGCGCTCGAACTGGTAGCTCAGGAGGGATGCACGAAGCTTGTAGAGATAGATTTAAGTCTAGCGAAGACTTGACGAATCGGATACCATTGATAGAAGCCATTGATGGTGCATCCTGACCGCGTGTTACTGATTTGCGAGAAGGACTTTCGCTCTCTGAACTAAATGCTCTGATCGCTGGATCTGCGCTCAAGGGAACATGTGTCAGAGATGGTGACCATGAGCATGGAAGTGTTGGGCTTCGTTGTAATCGTGGTTTCGTATTGGTATCAAGGAATTTGGCAGGTATAACAGGGACCTCCGGCTCTGAGGCACGTCTCATAGTCGAAAGGAGCGACTTTCGAACGCTAGTACCAGAAGTTGAGCGACTGATCGTGGAAACTGTAGAGCCAGCTCGAGAAAAGGGCGAGAGGCTATATGGATCGCCAAGTGCGAAAGGTAAATATGTGGCTGTTGATGACGCGGAACCAGAGCGGTGTGAGTGTGGGTATGGGATCTGGGGCAGACTGGCCGCCGTTCTTCTATCCAGGTAGAAATAGCCAGGTAGAGAAAGAGGCCCAGTGGATGAGTATCTAAGGGTTGGCGGGTAAATGGCAGGCCGAGATGAGACACTATTTTGTTTTTGGATCCATTGTGCTCGGTCTGATGCTCGCCACTCAAGGTCACTAGGTCCATAGTGGTACTGCTTCTCACGTTTCAACAAATCTGCACTCGAGGTAGAAGACCAGCTGACGTCGGAGTGGGATGATTTGAGGCCGGAAATGTCATCTGAGTCGGCTTGCGTAATGCCCATCAGGGAAGCTTGATATGGTCGATTGGAAACCTCGATGCAGCAAAAGACTGTGCAGGTCGAGACACTGTCACACTATCAGCGATACCTCAACTGCAGACCACGGCATTTACTCACAATGCCACGACAGCTATGCCCACATTCGCTCGGTGCAATTGACAACTGAGACCAATCTGCCAAAAGTTCTGCATTGCACGACCAGGCAGACATTTTGGCTGCCTTGCAGCTACAATTATGCCGACCGCTGCAGCAATCATCCAGAGCATGATGAGAAGGCGAGGAAGAAACCTGCAAATAAAGCTCAAGCTCGAGCGGAAATGTTTGTACATGATAGCCAGTCTCTGGCGGCGAGCGAGCAACGAGTGGACTAGCAGGAATAAAAGTGATAGCTGCGACTGTTCAACAGAGGTAAGTCGTTGACGAAACGACGATGGACTAGGCGAACTCACACCGACAAAGCTCAAGATGAGACTGGCAGAGATTGTAGTATCCACACTTTGAGTAGCATATAAATAAAGTACAATTACTGTCTCCGCAAGGGAAGTTAGAAGAAGGGAGTACAGTCCGACAACAACGAGTCTGAACAAGCCGCTTCCTTCAGAACTTTCGAACATATTGCACGGATGAAGGCAAAACAAAACGTAGTGTGGGTGCTTAAAGGTCCTTGATGAAGAGAGGACAACGGAGCAGCTGGCGGATTCAGGGAAGTATAGTAAGAAAATTCACAGAACGAGAGACGAAAGGAAAGCTGTTGAAGGAGTCCACACACATGGAATACCCGCCTTGCGTGAATCCAATAATTCCTGTCAGAGGGGAGGCATAGGACGAAGAATGCGCATAAGCCATTGGTGGATGTAGACGAAAGACCATACTTGGAACCGTGCTTTGGAAAGGGGAGAGACATTTGAAACCGTATATCAATTAACGCGTCCCCAGCCAGTACAACATTCCTTAAACCAACGGTAAGGAGGCTGGCATAATACGCGTTGTAAAGGCAGTCGAAGATGCATGGCTAGGCTCTTCCACCGAAAACGCACTTCGATGACTTGCTTGGTGCAAGGGCGATATTGCTAAGCGTAATTGTGCAGGTAATCCTTTGCTGTATTGCGAGGTCAATATCTTCCAGGTCGTGTGATAAGTATGGGAAAACGATTCGTGTGCTTGACTGATGTCCCAGTGTCAGACATAAGCTATTTCACGGTCCGAGAGACGCAGTCCTTTTGGTTCAACACCCAGTTACCAGGCTTTTGATCGTGTGTGATCATATAGATATGTAAAATGTGGTGTGATCCTGCATGTGATATTCAGGCCAGGGCTTGGCACTACACGAGACACTGCATGCTTGGCTAGTAGCTAGCCACCGTCACTGGCACGTGACCATACCTAGCCACTCGTGAGCACCTTTTCTACTTGAGATCGCACTTGTATCATAGCTATGTAGAGAAGAGCCCATGGCCACTAGACCATGGAGGATGTATACATTGAAGCATTGAATTTTGATCTTATAATAATTTAAATTTAATTGAAATCTTGTCTAGTCAGCCATGTCAGAATGCAGCAGGAGGCATGTCTAAGTAGGTCGCATGAATGAGTCCGTTTGGCTTCACTAATAACTTATCACTACACTGAATCCAAGGCGATTTATCTTGCCTTAATCATCACTGTCACCAGTCCACCTTCGTGTACTCTACGCACGTGCCTATAAATGACAGACCCAAATACACACCATATAATTTCTGAGAGATTGGCGACCTTGTAGTGTGGTTCGGAAGTGTGTCTGTTACAAGTCTAAGTTTCTATCGAATGCTCAGTGTTGTCCCTAGCCAACTACGATACTGTCGATTCCCCAACTTCCGAAGAGATTGAAAACAGCTTTCCTGGGCAGATGGGCATAGTGGGCACGAAACGAAGATGTTTCGGTGCGTCGACTGTCGAAAGGTCGTTAACGACAAGACTTTTAACGCACCCGTTTACGTCAATTTTTTGCTCCTACCACGAAAGAGGCGTGAATTTTCTCTTTCTGATGACAGTCTTGATTATGAAGAGGTTTGAGCATGCCAGGTTGTCTGCTCCAGAGGGAAATGGTGAGAATCTCGAAGCACTTGAAACGCTTGTGCTCGACTGTGTCATACACAGAATGGCTGAAAAGGGACACGATCCAAGCGCAGTTACGAACAACATGATTTTCAGGAACAAGAAATGCCCTACAGCCCTTGGACTGTGCGAATGGCTGAAGTTCCTCGAAGACCCTCTTCTCGTCTCGGCAGGCTGTTTGGAGTGCTTGCTTGGCCTCAGAAACTCGGCCTTCAGGATGCTCAAGGCTGCTGAGACTCGGAACAACTTTGCATAGCCACATCTCAGGGCTGCCTATTCATGGCTCAGGTTACAGTCACATGTGCTCAGGTCTCGAAGTGGAAATGGAGTCTGGAGAGGTCAAGATTTATCTGAGAGTATTCTGACATTCTTCAAAGATGCGGAATTCGGACCAGTTACTGCTCAAGCGCTGTGTTTGAGGCAGAAGAGCCCCAAGCTTTTACTGAGTGCCAATACGCGACAGAGTTCTACAATGTTTTGAGTTAGAACCAAAGTGAAAGGTAATGTGTGCAGACTTGCCAGCAGTCAGAAAATTTTCTTCCGTATTTCAAGGAGGACATTATCTTGTCGGCTTGAGCTCTAAAGGCTATCGAAGCGGAGCATCCCCAACAATTCGGATATCCCACAAGCCCATTGTGATTCGTGGAGGATCCATGAGCTTGGTCATCAATCCTCAATTGGTGTAAAATTGTCCCCGAACAATTCTTGAGGTGCTCTAGTCTCATTTTTGCGGTTCGAACGACAACATGTCTTGCAAGTCCTGCCAGCAGCTTTTGGACCACCAAAAGCGTGTCTTTCGCCCCAGAAGACGAAGGAAAAATGAGACCGGTCAAAGGCTTGCAGGCACGTATAGCAGGGATTGCTGGAAAGTTCGTTGAGGTGAGTTTGACGAGTTAAATCCAACGATGCAACTTCGAGTTCCAGAAGTTTTACTTGAAACCACTCCGATGGTGATAGTGATAAAAAGTTGCAACTAGTGCAAGATAGATTGCGGAGGGACTCGAAATCACAGAATATCATGATGCGAAGTGCTATCTCGTTCGGAAGGAAAGATATTCGTGCTGGAGGTGCGAGCCGCTTCGGAATGTGGTCTTTCGTGTTTATTGGCCTGAAGGGAGAAATGTAGTCTGCCAAAGGCAAGAACGAGCGTCGAAAGGAGTGGCTTGTAGCTGCTAGCTTGAGAATGGATAGGAAATCAAGATGGCCGGCGATGTTGTGGAGTAAGGTTTCGCTAAGAGATGATAGAAAAACTCTTCTCGTCTTGTCTTTTTTTGGCTTCTTTTATGATGGCATATTATGTTCGATGTGGCAGTGCTGGGAGTTCTTTAGATCACGTTCTGCTTACATCGAAGAAAGCAAAGTGGAAAAACAAAGATTGATGATAAGAGCAAATAGAAGCGGTAGAAGCAGCACTCTGCATCCTTGGTCTGCTTTGCAGTCGCGGAGGCCACCAGTGACCTACAATGTGATTTCGGATCAAGTATGGTTCATTTGTGTCAGAAAGTAGACCTCCATGACCAGAGGACCGGAGTATGCAACGGATTTGGAGCGTGTTTGGAGCGTATTACTCGCTAAGGACGTCTACAACTCAATGGAAGCTCACATAGAGGCAGTATGATGAAACAGTGATACAATTAGTGCACTTCTAACAGCGCTTGCAGTGAACCAAGGGGCATAATAAAATGTGTGACGGTTTGCCCTCATTGCATAGCATGTTGACTCGGAAGAGTGGGATGATCTGTGGAGGAAAGTTATTGCAGAAGCATTAAATACAGTACTAGGTCAAAAGTCTCCGTGCACACGAATTTTACCACCCCCCCTAACTGTTCTCTACTCTATACATTTTACTACTACACACTGAACTCTGATCGGAATTTTATGAAAAATAGCTCAAAATGACCGTTAATGTCTAGCGATTATAATCGTACTAATTTCCTAATTAGGTCTCTTGATTTAGTATCTGGTGTGCCATCCTTTTGCCCGCAGTACGGCATTCACCCGGTTATCCATTGACTTGATTAGGGAGTCGATTTTATCCTGCGGAATAGCCTCCCATGCTTCTACGATTACTCGAGCCAATTCATCGTACGCTGCTTGCGAATCCCCTAGATCCTTAAGATGTGGATACTGCTGATTAATCCACTGCTTCATCCAAGCCCAGACGTGTTCAATT